GTATAGCCTGTAAATGTAGCATTATTCTATTATCACACCAAAAGCGACTAATAAAAACCCTATCACGATCTTGATTTCCAGAACTTTTTCCCTGACAACAGGATTCTGGAAAACCTTCTTCTTTTTCCCAATTTTTTTAAATGACTTTCCAGAAAAAACATTTTCCCAAGAGTTGTCAGGATTTTTCATGACTGTAGGAACCTTGAGAAGGGGAAAAATGACAGTAACATTGATATCCGATTTCTGGACAGTCTCTGAAGGATACGATAGCAGAGAAGATGAAGCCAGCGTCCCAGTACTGGTTCCTTGGGTTGAACATAGAGATGCCCATGTAGGAAAAGATGAAACTCTCAGCCAGGAACTGGGTCAGCTCTGACACCTCCTTGGTGCGCTTCTTGGAGTCCTCTGAGAGGTTATTGTAGGTGTAGTGGGCCTGCATGATCCCACAGAACAGCACCGCCACGATTCCTACCGGGTAAACAAGAGATGAGCTCATTAGATTGAATTTGCTGGCACGAGAGAATATTTTGGATATTCCATCTGCTGTTCATCTTACCAGTTAGTTGAGCAGCCTCTGCGATCAGGTAGGACATGTAGGAGATGATGAAAAAGATGCCAGTCTCAAGTAGAGGGAAGTCACGGATCCGGGTGAATTTTGTGACGTGAGAAGAGTACGTTAAGGAAAGTAGCCCAACTACCAATGAAATTCTGCTTCAACAGTTATAAGTCATTACTGTGTGTCAGACCAGGATTTTCGTAGGTAACAGGTTCACATCTCAACTGTAAAGCACAGAACGTTCAGAATTGCATGGCCAGAAGCCTATATCCAAGGCCAAAGATTACACAATTTTCAGCAGCTCAGAAAGATTTCGCATGCCAAAACTTGTATTTTTCCCAAGCAGCTTTTTTCAAATTTGAGTTGTCTGAAAGGGTCTTCTTTTGTTTTCAAGTAGTTCTGCAAAATTATACAACTTAGAGGCTGTTACACACCCGGCAGGGCTTGGATATCTAGAAAATACCATTTTTTTCAATGAGAATTCAAAGATATTTCGCATGTCACGAAGTGTGAAGAAGTTACAGATTCTCTGCCTCCATTGGCTGAGAAGTAAGTGGGTATAAGTGACGAATTACCGAGCCAAAATAATTCAAGTCCAGTAAAAAGGATATCAAGGCTGTTATGATTCCCATGACCGATCCAATGGCAAACGACCCCACAAAGACCCCAATGAAGATTCCCAGAGACTTGAAGATGGGACCAGCTTCAAAGGTGTCGCTCTCATAGGACTGAACTGTCCTGTGGAATCAAAAGGAGGGGTTTTTGTCTGGTCTACCACATACCAATGAGTCTGGTATACACCTACATATATTCATATGTCACAAATGGAAAGAGTCATACCTCACTTCCAAACCCCCAAAAGACCCGTCAGCCAAAGCATATGTCATTCTTCCTACCTTGAGAGGACGATGGCCACAGCATCGTTAAGAACGCTTTCTCCAAAGACCAGAATAAACATGTCCACGTCGACTTTCAGATCTTGAAATACTGCTAAAACAGTCACTGTAACAAAGGAATGTTTTGATGCTGATGAGAATACTTACATCTTACATGAAAAACATGCTGTATTCGTGCTTCACAAATATGCGATGTGCCCTGTAAAGCACTCTGGCTTTCTATCATTAAAACCCTTCAGTTCTCAAATTTACCCGGGTCTGTAGCCGAGATCAAAGCACCAAAGAGGAACGAGTCTTGGAGGCTGAAATCTGTCCGTCCCATTGCCTTGGAGACCAGACCAAACATGATGCCTCTGCAAACGACAAAATGTAGAAGAAATTTGGAAAAAAGTTCTGTTTGATCTTGCACCACATGCATGGATACAAACTTGATCCCTCCTGGGTCTGTTGGGACTGCTGCTAATGATTCAGTGGGGGTTAAGAAAAGAGGTCAGTATTAATCCAAAAATTTCATTGCAAAAAGAATGAACAGAAGTTACTTTTCACTCACCCAACTACAAAACAAGAGATAGCGGTTCCAATCATGGCATAAGTTAGAATTGAGCCCAAATTGCGGAAGAAGTGACGCTGCAGAGAAGACAATATCATATTCATCAATTCTCAATTTACACTTTGATTTAGTAAAATATAATGCGGACAAATTACAGCAGACGAACTGAAGAGAAGCAACAAGCATGTCATTTTCAAGCAAGCTGTTTCCCCCCAAAACAACATGATCAAAGCACACAGAAGGCATTTTTCTTACTTAGTCCGACACCGAGAGTTTGCAATTGCCACTGTTTGGATCACTCCACACACTCACCCGTTTGAGGCTGTAGCCTGCGTAGAAGATGATAGGTGGCAGTAACATGTTGAAAAACACTTCCGGGTCAAAGTTCACCTACGGACAAGAGCCACATCATAGATGAGTTTTCAAAAAAGTGAACTGCATTTAAAAAAAAATCTTTATAGACATTGTGTCACGTGGGTGACAGGCCCATGCCTGTATACACATCCATGTCTACGTGTTTCTATGCATATTCCCTAACACTTATTGCAACATGAAATAAATATATCAGAACTTCAGGCTTTTTTTTGTAAATTACTGACACTCTGATCTGTCTGGACTGCCAGCCAATAAGTCCTTTGACAGGTGCCTTCACGTTAAAGAGCACACACTACATTAAGCTTAAGTTCTGCAATAAACAGTACTCCCGAGGAAAACTCTTTACCTTTTCAACGAATGCAGATGGTACAGAATAATTAGTTTCCTTGATGATACCCTTTCGGCTGTACAGGAAGGTAAGGGTATCGTTGCTAGGATACCGAAGTGCCACATGTATGCTAGAGCTGGCTTTCACGACATCACATTCCGGGGCGCTGCTTTCAAAGCGTAATGGTACCTGGCCGCTGATTTCAGCTGTGTTCCAGACTATGGCGCCCACCACAGCACCTGTGAAAAAATAACTGGTGTTTTCTTTTCCCCCTTTCTTTGTTTGTACAAAAACAAACCGCAGGCCATGAATTGGAACAAGGCAGCCAAGCTATCACCAAGTCCTCCAATAGGGCTGTTGAAAATTTCTATTCCTTTTAAATTGTTTAATGAATAATTTAATTTTTTAATTGTTCTAAGATTTCTGTCGCTTTTCATTTGAATCTGCTTAAAACAAAAGAAAATTCTCCCTTTCTTATCATGAATTTTGCATTAAAATATTCAAATTCGGAAAATAATATTCAAATGTTTGATAAGTGATCAAATATTCGGATATTTGGCACAACCATCATAAACCTTTGACTACTGTATGCAACCTACTGCCCTGTACATTGTACATGTATGTACTAATAAGTGTTTATTATTCACTTAATTTTTAGATTTGAATGGTTATATGGCAGGATTGGCCAATGTGCACTATTGCCTGATTGCTCTGCACAGATGCACAGCTGGTCGATCCCAGGCCAATATGACAGGAAATCTCCAACTTTTGGCCCTAATTCCCTTTTAGGAAACAATCTATCACAACTATGAATAAGAAAGAAAAGGCAATGGTTGATGGCAAAATTTATCAACAAATCATGATCTCACCAGTCTTCATAAGGCAACTTCGGAATACTGGTCTTCTCATACAACTTACCGTAAATCATTGCTAGGCCTGTCTCATGAATAAACCGAAATCGATGGGCCTTAAACAGCCAGATCGTCAAAATTGTCAACACCAGAAGCGACAGAAACAACAACAAATTTAAGCTATCATATCGATGTTGATTCAATACTTCATCTTCCTCGATTTCCTCTGGGTCGCATTTAATATCTTCGTTTGGAACTGTCGTCTGACTTTGAGCGCAAAGAGCACGTGCCAAAATGAGGAAAACAGCCGACAATCTTGGGAGAGGAAATGAACAAATTTTCCTGTGAATCGCCATCTTGTCACGAACCCCTCCTACCGAATAATGATGCCGCACTCCGAAAGTAGAATGCATGGTCTAAAAGGAGATACGAAAATATTGCATTATTTTATAAACTGGGTTTGGGGAAACAAGTGATCATAAGTCAAAAACTTGTTGCCACATTGGGATGGATCGTTTCCCAAATCCAAGATAATGAATGTATGTCTGGACTATTTCTAATATTTCTCTACTTCGTGGAAATAACATTTTCACGACTCCGCCCTTTTGAAACCTCTAATCTATGTTTTCGATGACACATCATTAAAAGTATCACGAGATGGCAGAGCGCCCTCACTTGAAAAAACTTAATAATTATTTTTGTACACCTGTCACGCACCCTATACCCTAGGCCCTAGCCTACAAAATGGCTTTTGAGATCACTGAATCAAAGAGCATACCTATTTTCGTTTTATTCCCCAAACCCGCCTTACCAAGGGTGGATCCAGAATCAAATTTCGGGGGGGGGCTAGATCTAATGTGAACATGTTTTCGGTAACCCAGCATCGATCATGGCCTTTCTGCTGGATAGTAAGGCTATTATTTGCGGACTTTCTACACGCTTCAGGAAGACATAAAACAGACACAAAATTTGTCTTTTTTCCGTTGATTAAAAATGAAATTTGGTTCAGTTTTTTTGGGGGTTGGTGGCGTTGGCAAAAAGCCCCGACGAATTGCAGACCTATTTTGGATAGAGGCGGGCGGCTACATTCAAAGCTGAGCGCAATACTATATTTAGGAGGTATCTTCGGGGAAAGGCGAATAAAATTTTTTTTCGTTGCTAACCCCAATAAAAAAAAGAAACAAAAAGTGATTTTAAGGCATAATTTTGAATTTCCAGTGAAAAACGAAGGCTAACCTCTTCACGAGAGTCAACAGGCGGCGCTATTTCGTTCTGATTTTGCACTGTTTTCTATGGGCGCGTAGTTGGTGTAGTGCAACCTTAGGTTGAGGGAAGCCGGCCCACGTTTAAGTTTGATAATTAATGTATCCACCTTGAAGGTATCAGTAACATCTCAAATTTGTTAACTTTCCGGACAAATTCAAGTATTCCAGGTCCTGACACCCTCTTTATTAACAGTAAAGTTTTAACCAGCATAAGTTCATTAATTTTTGCTTCTTTTAATATCACACTTGAAGAGTTGCCCGAGTCCTGTGAAATCCGACAATGTAAACATTGTGTGTGAGGCATTTCATTCCTTACAAACAGCCGTTTGTGAGCCTAATGGACTTTGTACCCTCCAGACTGCACACCCACGGCACGAGCTCAGTGTTTTTCGCCTGAGTCACGCTATATTCATTTGAAAGCAGATGTTATTGTATGTGATCATGCTGGAAATCCGGTCTTGTTCAGTCAAATTATGATGCTGATGATGATCGTAAGTACTTGAAGCCAAAAGATTGAGAACATTTGTCCAAACAGACCGATTGGAATCTTGTTGGCTGCCGTCGAAATGGCAATTGACGTTTACACTGCCATGTTTTCCTACTGACAAAAATTAGCCGTCTAAAGCTAGGAAGTGTTTTCAAAACCGAGTTCGTTTGTTGTGAATCGAGCTGCCGCCATTGCAGGGTTTCTGTGATCACATCTATTCAAGGTATTTAGATGGAGCAGGTCCGAGAGTTCTCCTGGAAGGGACTGACCGTTCTGGCCAAGATGGACGAAGAAACCGAATTCTTGACCACGTTGCCAAGGAAGTCGAGATTTGTTGTCCTCCTCTTGCTGTGTTTCTGTTTCGTCACCTTCGTCTTCCTGTACGCACTCTCGCCAAGATCTACGGTAAAGATTTACTATCTTAATCCCGTGACATTTAAGAAACTATTATGCCTTTCAACTGTAGGCTATACTTTGAAAACTAGAAGCATGCATATTGAACGTCTATAGCGTATAATGCATCCAGTCTCAGTATAGGAAAAGCGTAAATTGGTAGACCAGTATGCTCAGAATGTCAGAAAAACCACCGTAAACTTAAAGAGGGTCTTCTGCTACCACAAAAGAGAAGAATATGCCGTAATTTTTTTTTGCATTAACAGTACGGGAAATTGAAGAAGAAACCCTTTATTCAGCATACATTTTCTGTGACATCGGATAATCGAAGCTTATTACAGATGCACACAAGCACACAGTGAGGATTTTGCCACCCAAATCGCGGCAACCAGAGATTTCTGCACATCAAATCTGTACATCAACATTTTCCCCCTTTGCACATTTTAAATAGGTCCACTCGATAGATGATTTGAAGAAAGCCTGGCACATGGGACAATACAACATTCACAGACTGAACATCGAAGAGAAGACCCTCAAGAGTCCATCAAACATCACTCATGCACAGAGCTCAATATACAGGTAAGCATGATGTAGGAAATAAGATTTCTTCCATTATTAGTAAAGCATCATGCTTTCTTTGTATACGTCGCTGCTCTCCTCGATGGGCCATGCGTGGGTCGTGTATGCCCAATCCGAAAATTCCCAGGTCAAGATTTTCGTCAGACTTTTATTATCGAATCCGGGGCATCACTACCCAGATGAGATACAATACAGACTCGATCGCACCTGCATACCATCGAAATACATGTAGGCCTAGTAATATAAATTTAGATTTTTGTTTCGAACTTTCGCACAGATTTGATCATTCAAGTGGCCTGGTAGTTTCAAAAGGAGACATTTTACGGCTGGTGATCGAGGCTAGAGATGTAGCGGGAAAAAGAACAACGACGGGTGGGGACATGTGGTATGCTACCCTGAACTCGCTCAATCCCAAAGCAAGTACAGCTGGTAAGGTGGTGGACAATGGTGACGGCACGTATGAAGTCACCTTCTACGTCGGCTGGGAGGGCGTGGCCAGAATCGACATAATCCTGGTGCATCCCAAAGAGGCGTGCACCTTCGTGGAGCAGAAAGTGTGGCCGGCAGAGGATCGAGTAGTGTGGCTGGGGACGTACAAGGCCAAGAGAGAACCAAGAAACAAAGAGTACACACAGACGTGCGTGCTACGACGTAATGAGACAGACTGGGGCAACATGTGCGAGTACTGGTACCCGAAACAGATCGGCGAGACTCTCCTCATATGCGGAAAGCCAACCGACAAGAAAAGATGGACGTGCAACGACCTGAACGCCCTCAAGAGTCTAGATGCGCGGATCGAACTGGCTGCCTCGGAGCTGATCGAGGGCAAGGAGTACTTATTTGATAAGTAAGAAAACTACATATACATATATATCGACATGACAGTTGGAAATACTAGTTGCAATGTCGCCATTATAAAGGTGCTATACAGTACTTTAATAACTTGATAACCTCTATGATAGTTTTTATTGTCATATACTTGACATCTACCCATGCTGTAAGTTGAAAAAGTTAGATGTCGTTTTTGAAATTTCCCTTTCAGCGAGAACATAATGCAGATTGTTGAAGATGGACCGAAACACATCAAAATTGAAGGTAGGAAAACTTCTAAGCTCTTTCATGCGAATGAAGAGTTCTTCCGTTAGTGACTATTCAGTCGTCTTGCTGTTAGTGCTGTTATATTGTTGTATGCCAACGCGTCTCTACTTTTGAATTGGCAGGTATGAAGCGACAGCAAGTTGTCGAAGCATTGCCCCCGTGCCGGCCTGGACTTAAAGCCCCCAGCTCGGAGGGTTATTGGCTAAACGATCAGTGGCATTCCCTCCGCTGCCAAAACTTTCAGTGGGGAGCCAACGCTAGCAAGTCCCAGGAGGCCTCTTGGTGCCTCCGAGGCAAAGAGGTGTACTTCCTAGGTGACACGACGGCCCGCCAGTGGTTTGAGGCATTCCAAGAATCCATCGGGTTGAAGTTCTTCTTGCGCAACGACGATGCCCATTACAGGTTTTTCCGCCATCACCCGTCTTTAAACCTATCCGTTCTGTACCAGGCTCGTCCCCTGCTGATGACCTCATTTCAAGTCCCATTCGAGGAAGTGCAGTTCGAGGTGGACCTTCTAGACAGCCTCAAAAATACGAAATGTAACTACATCGTCCTGTTGAGTCCGTGGTCGGATACAAACTGGGATCGCGCCAGTTTCACTGAGCGACTGAACCTCATGAAAGACGCAATCGAACGCCTCACGGTCAGGTGCCCCGAGGCACGAGTGGTTGTCAGAGGTCCACATCCAGTGGAGCACACTACGTTTAAATCATCCACATATGCCGAAAACATCTTGCTGCTGAAGATAAGGGACTTAATGGCAAAGATATTCCGGTATTCGAGTGCTTCGTTCCTTGACGTCTGGGACATGGGGTTGGCGTACCCTAGCCCGAATAAGAGAGACATGCCCAATGAGGTTATTCAACAGGGAGTAAATCTGTTTATGTCGTACGTGTGTCAGAACCGAAAAAAGTATACTGAATGAACTGAAATATCGTTTAAGATAAATACACATGTGTATGCAAATTTTGATTTGTGTATATTATATTTGTTCAATGGGGCATTTGATATTTCCGAGGAAAAATAGCGAGATGGCTGTTTTTCTAGTTGTCTTAGAGCAGTGGAACTAGTCGTCTAAATGAACAGAGAGGAAAAAGTAAGTAGCTAGAAAAACGAGCATGACTTGGGAAGATTCCATGTATAGTTTCACGAATTTTCTCTCAAAAGGGGCAAGGCTAAATTATGCATGGAGCTTAACCAGATAAAATTCTCAGGTTGTGGTTCGAAATGTTTCAATTCAAAAGAGCACATCGATGGTTATTGTATAGCCTGTATGTCATGTTGGGATACAAAGAAGTTGAAATTAAGGTAACAGTCAGCTTCGGCTTGGTGTTGTTCGATATGAATATAATATTCTTTGAATTGAAATAGCAGCCTAGAAGTATGCTGCGTTTTATAGCAATAAATGCCGTACAGCTTCAGTCTTGCATGTCGTGTTGTCTATTGCTTTTTGGTCAGACTTGTATGGTTTGTTTTTAATAACTTACCGAACATACAGAATAGATTTAATTTTTAACACGTCATTTGAAAATAGCAAAGCGCCGAATCAGCAGCATTCCTTTTATGCTTCCTAACTAATCTAGTAGAAATCCCAAATGTCTTATAATTCGTAAACAAATCCAAACAGGTAAAATCCAACCTTCAGTGTGCTGATTGATATCGTGCAAATCGCTTCAGGATCACTTTAATAAAATAAATTACATGTTTTGCGCGTGATATCAATTTGCAAAGATTATTTCGAACCATTGATAAGGTTAAGCATTACTCAACAGCCCCTAAACACCTGTATATTGGAGACCGCGGATTTTATACTTGTACTTCTCACAAAAATTCTGGGACATGAAACCACTACACTGTATTTCATCGCTCGAAATGTCAACAAGCATTGCCGCGCTGCCGTTAAGTCCACAATATTTACTGTTTGTACAATATCCCACATTACTATACAGTGACCTTTGATCGAATACTAAACTAGACGGCTGGTTATTAACTCCATTCCATTCCGTAGTGCGTTTTGGAACAAGTTATCAGCGAGTTCTGTGTCAGTCGAAGAGTGGTACCAGGTATACGTGCTTTTCTGTTTCCATTTTTGAGATTACCAACACGTGTTTGTCGAACCTTAACTTTCGAGTCTGTAATGTGCTTTTGAGTCTAAAACCACTGAGGTCGCAAGGTGGTCTCGATATCAACGGAGAGAGGTATCTGCTGGCATCATGTAGAATAGCCATCGTCAATGCTTAGGCCCACGGTCTGTACTGTTGTTCTTCATGGTTGGGGCTGACTGAGCGCGGAATATGAAAACTCAGCTGTTCTTTGAATGACGACAACTGACTGAGAATGAGGCTAACGGCTACTGTTAGTATTTCCTACAAGATCCTGTGGGTAGCGATGATGGTCTTCGGTACGGGCGCTGTGTCTATCTACTGCTTATGGGTAAGCCATTATGTGCTCATGTGATGTAACCAAATTTTGCTAGTTGAGGCCTGCATAATGTTACCGTAATCATATAAGACGACAAACGAGGAGTGTGTGGCGGTGTCGATAACGCGTATGCTTATGGATGAAATGCCATTGTTAATCGTTTTAAATACAGTAATGTTCGAGATTAAGGTAATCAGGGTTTGTATATTATAATGAGTTTAGCTCAATGTTATTGAGCATATACCGACCGCAGTACACAACGGCATCGTGCCTAGTCAAAGCACATATCATGTCAAAAAGATTCGACCAAGCTGTATTTAAAATAATATACCCATGATCAAATCAAACGAATGCTTAACGAAGTTGTCATTTTATTCATTTTTAGATGATGGTAAACGGGGCAACTCGATACACGGAACAGCAGTATGGAGCAAAGGTGAGTAGTGAAAGTGGCCGTGAGTGGTGGTGGGAAGGGATGAAAAACGCTTGGATAAGGTAAAAATAATGGTTTTAGGTCGTCAGGCCTTTAGGCAAATGAACAGGGTAACCTTCATTTAAAATGACATGGTTTTGTTTTATTTTATAATTTTCAGACTGGACATCGTCAGAGAGGTCTCAGCGTGCTCAAAGATATTACAAGAGACGTGTCTCTGAGACAGAAGGTTCGCTTTGTTTTGCAGTTGCTAGTACATGTGCCAGGTTGCTGCTCGTAGCATAGTCGAAAATTACTGTAAATGTTTGAACAGTGCCCCTTCTCGGGATAATGCAATGAAATCAAACGCATTAAAATGTCGCACTCATTTTCTGCTGAGCCAAACGAAGATCTGGCCACTACAAGCTGATTTTTCCAAGTTTCAAAGTGGCAGTTGGAAAAAATGTTGAATTTTCCTCCCGTTTAAACAGTTTTTGCAAAGCACATATAGCCTACACGCAAAGGGACTTCTTTTTAGACAAGATTTAAATATCGATCATCTAAATGGAATGTTTTTGTATTTCTTTCACTTGTAGAGCAAACTGAAAATCGTGGATCCCCCGGTAGATGGCGAGTTTAAGGCGCAGCCGAAAGAGGAGGTGCTGTACGCGTTACTAAACTTCACATATTAACGCAAGCTAAAGGAACATTTACCTTTGATGGCATTGAAGTGTTACACAAAGGTGTCATTTCAAGGCTTGTAAAAATAATTCTATTACATGGTCCTTTGAAGGGCTTTTGTGTTCCACGAGGGAAGAGAAAGAGGTTTAATATTGGGACGATTTTCATGCCTCCGGACTCAAAAGGTTGGCACGATGATTAAAAGCCAGCACACACTAATTAGTTGGAGACGCTGTAGCGTCAGAAAACGGGATCATTTACAGGAGGAAAAGTCTGGAAACTTTGCAGTTCAGACAGACGTTGGGGAATGAACATTATCGATTTTGAATCTGTAACCATTTATACAGAGAGTGGAATTCGATGCCATCCGGCGAGTTTATCCGGAGGAATACGCCTTGCGGGATGTCAGTAAACTTACGAGCTCTACCAAAAGTTCGTACAGGTAAGTGTTTTATTGGCTGCACAGTCGCTGGCATAAGGTAATTATTGTGCGTCATATTTTCATTATAAGTGGGTTATTTTCTTCACTACTGTATTGACATACATCATTACTTGTAAATTTCCCTAATGAGAATTGTCTTTCGTCTGTTCATGCATTATTGTATGACCATTTAAGGTGAGGAACTGGTGGCGAAAATTAACCATTTGTCTTGGATTTTTACCAGCATTTATTTTTCTGATTAATGAAAGAGTAATATTTTACTCACAGAATTAAAGGTGATAGACAGAACGTCCAGTTGGGAGATACACTGCACGTGGTAATCCAGGCACGAGACAGTCGCAGCAAAGACCGGGAAGAAGGGGGCGATTTCTGGTTTGCCACCCTAGCCACCAAGCAGAACAGCTCTGGTACAGCCGGCCGAATCATCGACCACGACAACGGTACCTACAGCGCGTACTTCACGGTGGGCTGGCCGGGCTCTGTGGCTCTTGAAGTCAGGCTGGTGCACCCTAGTCACGTGGCTGCAGTGATGACCAGTGTAATCTGGAACGAACGGGATCGGGTGGAGTGGACAGGTCGATTTCAAATGGCGCCAAATTCGACCATAAAGTCAGACAGGCGATGCCTATTGAGGCGCCAGTACGTGCCTCTGATTAGCGAATGTGTCATGACGTACCCAAAGGCTATGGGACAGACAGTGTTGGTGTGTGATGCCCCAGAGAAGGGGATCCCTTGCAGCGGGTTGAACGCCCTCTATCCTAACCTTACTGCCGTCAATGACAGAATCAAAAGCTTCACCCGGAACTACTACCAAGTTTTCTCTGGGTGAGTTTATTAATAGTTCACGTTATCCTCTCGAAGTTTCTGCAAATCAGAATGAAGCACATTGAATGATGGCTCATTTGCTTTGACTTAAGTATGGTTATATGGATATAATAACAAAAATCGTTGTTTTGATTTGGTTTTGATGAAAACTAATGTTCCCTCTTTCTTGACTCCGCTTTTCAGGGACTATTTTAAAAGGAGACTTACTCGTGGCCCGAGCAAACTTTTAATCAAAGGTACGCATGACATGTTTCAGGTTCGTAACCTTTTTAATTGAAAATAGACAGACGTAGACCATTTTGATATTGAAAGCGTCTTCTTTAATTAAATTACACTGAATTTCTACCTTCCTCTATTAAAATTACGTGTAGTTTCAAGACAGAAACGGTGTAATAATTCTTAAGATTTGTTTCTTGAGGAAACAGGGAAACCAGCTCTCAAAGTGAGTTTTTAAAGGGAACATCTGTAAACGATGACATTGTCTCGATCACGATCATTTTCAGCGTCTGAACACCGACGGAAGAAGCTGATGAGAGATCAGGAAAGTCTTCCTGCCTGCCAGCCCGATCAGTCTTCCCCTAGCCACGGCTTGGGTTACTGGGAGAAGAACATCTGGCACTCCCATCTTTGCAGGACGAAAGAGAGCTGGAACAACCCTTCAGAAATCGGCGAGTGCTTCAGGTCGAAGGAGGTGTTCTTTCTTGGAGACTCTGTAATGCGGAGATGGATGGAGATTTTGTCAGGAATGATGGGTTTCCCCTTTCTGGGTAGGGCCTCTGAGGATGAGGATGTTCACATCAAGCTGCCCTCGCTTAATTCTTCGCTGACTTTCCTCTTACAATCTTTGACCTTTAGCTCAAAAGGTACACCGCACCTAAAACCTATATTTGAGGCAGATATCTTAGACTTTATGAGGAACAAGGGGTGTAACTACGTCGTGGCAATGGGCTCATGGGCACATTTCTCCCGGTGGACCCGAGAGAGCTTCGTGGAACGCGTAGGGTTGCTCAGGGAAGCCGTTGTGAGATTGAAGACCAACTGCCCGGCCGCCAAGGTCGTGGTAGCCGGTCCGCATCCACTCAGCCAGCCCAACAAGGAATCCCGGATTCATGTCAATGACCTCATTATCCACAACATGGGGGAGATCCTTGAAGATGCCTTCAGCCAATCAGGAGCCTTGTACTTGGATCGGTGGGACTTGAATGTTGGCTATCCATCCAGCAAGAAGCTTCACATGCCCACTGAGGTGATACAAGGTGAACTCAGCATATTTTTATCCTACGTCTGTGGTGAAGGCGATACAGGATAGAGACAGCAATAAGCAATCAGTACTGAAGGGCCTTCTGAAATAATGTAACACATTATTTGAGAAATGTAAAGGTCAAAAACAAGAATTATTTTCCCAAGTGTTCCTTGTCATTTGTAATAAAATGCTTCAGTGTGTGTATTAATAAATAACTTTGGGTGGCTGCCCTGTCTTGTTAGAAGCTTTACGATCGTAATTAAGTGCCATAAATCAAGGCAATGGGAGAGGATTTTAGGATTCTTAAGACGAAACTCCAACGCTCATTCAGGATAAGGTTTGACGCACGAGCGAGATAGGTTTCAACGAGAGCACATTTCGAATAATGGGGAGGTCAGTCCCTTTTATTTATACCCAGCAAAAACTATGGTGTTACATTTTACACCGCCAGTGTTATCGGAGGACCAGTCCAACACATCTCATCAGTGTCAAAACTTTGGTGTTATTTCAACACTCTTGGTGTTACCTTTAACGCTCTCCAGTGCATTTATCCCTGGGGGCTTTAAGTCTAGCCTGGCATCAAGGCAATGCCTCGACAAATTGCTGCTGCTTCATATAAGCCTACCGGCCAATTCAAAAGTACTGACACGTTGACATTCAGCACTAACAGCAAGATGACTTAAAGTAGTCACTGCAAACATGGATTGAAACAGTTTAAAGAGGGGCATTACTGATGTCAAGTGCGTTAAAATATTTTACAGAATTTACGGCATAGCCGAGAGCCTGTTTAGGGTGACACAGTACCAAACAAAATAATAATAATTACACTGACACACGTGACAATTCTTGATATCCATCGAATTATTAAATCAGGCTTGTGTAAATGTTATATTTGGATCATATAAGTCATGATTCATGTCACGTTGTACTCTACTGTTTGTTAAATCTATAGAGGCGGATAATGCTCGCCCGTTTATGTTGATAGCCTCGGGGTTCACTGTGGAATTTTATTATCGACGGGGATATGAGTCTGGGTTCTGAACTTCTAGCTTTAATCCCTTGGTACTGTTCTCGTGTTTTTGGCTCATTTTAAAATAACATGCAGTGCCTCAAGTTGGATTATAGCGGTTTATGGTTTTCCAAGTTGAACAGATGAATTTAATGAAGTTGTTCCTTGACTGTTGTCAAAACCGTAGCCAAACAAAGGTTTATATCTAGAAATGCAGAGACAAGGACAGCAGAGACAAGGGCCTTCAGAATTTGATTGCAGATATCAATTCTGACGGCAGCTATTGGCAGTTAGTTTATGTTTCATTTTAAATAAGTGAGCTCATGACATGGAAATATTATACAACCAAAAGAATTGTCTTAGACGAAAAGAAAGAAATATGATCTTTAATATATTACTCGGTGCCTGCGCTAATCATAGAATTTAAGAAATACGATTTTAATGAGTTTTCCGTCTGGCCATTTTTCTAAAGTGCATTCCCGCGAGTACTTTATCTTGCAGCCGGATAATCCTTGAGACGATTTATATGTACATAGGCTTATTATGATTCATTTGTCATCTAACGTCCATTTCAGAACTTGCTCACGTGATTTCTTCTAACAACCATGTAGAACCGCTGAACTGAGTTGAGAGCATAGGCGTCATTTATTTTGTGTGACGCCAAAGCGCTGATAGATAAGCTTTCTGAGTATGGTTTACTGATGTTTATCTTATCGTCAATTTAAGGCAGGTCTGTTGTTGAAATAAAGCAGTTAATGAGGTATTTTTGCCGTGAAAAGTAATTCTGTATGAAGTGCATGTAGTTATATGAAATTTCCTGTGCTCAAATCAGTGCAACATTGAGATTCGGTGCCTTGGATGACATCATAGTTCTTCTCATGAATATGCAAATAGCATTAGCATAAAACACAAAAAACCATCAAAATATGGGTTAAAATTGCAACAACAACAAAAAATAAAATAAGGTTAATTGAAACCCAAAGATGCAATTTCAAGGGTTTTTAGTAAAATTTATAAAAAAATTTCTATTTCCTGGTTCCTTTAATTCTGGATTTTTGCCCTGCCCGGCGTGTTTTTTAACACTGTACGCTCAGTGTATGGCCCGAGGGCTTGTGAAAAACCCACAAGCGCACTCGTGTGGGACTCAAACTCTCGACCTCCTGCTTACTAGTGCAGACGCCTTAACCACTCGACCACCGAGCTTGCCGGTGTCGGTTGGCTCGTTCGAATCGGATGTAGCAGTGGGTACTGCGGACAGCTCAAAGATGGTTTTGCGCCGGGGAGATATACATTAAGGTTGGATTTTTGCACCAGCGGATGAGCCTGCTGCCAACGGTGTGTGCCAGATTAGGAGGAGGTACCATGCCTGCGTCGGTTTGTGTGGCTCCTCCACTGCGCTACCATTTCCCCTTCCCAAGGATATATAGTTGGGTAAACCTCCTCCCCTTTGGATCAAGTGAAAACTAGCACCAGGCTTCCAGCCCCTGCTTCTGCTGATATCCATTCACCTTTCCCTGCTGCTTCAGCTTCTGTGACATGAACGACTCAAAGCCATCGGGAAGGTCATTCATCGACTGGGACCTTGCTGGAGGCCAAATCAATTTTCGACATGTTGCAAGAATTGCCACTGGAAATGTTCTCACATGTGTAGGCTCGGAACCTCGATCGCCGGGCTCACAGAGGCCCGTATTCCGGGTAAGGGCACCATGAGTGTATGTCACGAGTCCATCGTTTTTCCGGTGGATCCGATCACACCATTGGTGTAGCCGTTTTCCTCAATAAGACAGCCAGCGGCTGCATACTGTCTTGGCAGGCCATTTCCGAACGTCTGCTGTCTGTCACACTCAAGCACCGGCATGGGGTTAGCACCTTCATTGTCGTGTATGCTCCCACTGAGGTTGCCTGCGACTCAGACAAGGATTCCTTTTATGGTCAACTAATTTCTCATTGCGTCTCCTCTGTTCCTCACCATGACAAGTTGATTGTACTCGGAGACTCTGACGCGGTTTCAGGTTCCGATAGGTCTGGCTTTGAAGATGTTGTTGGAAACTTTGGCCACGGTGCAGTAAATGAAACTTAATTTGCATGATTTCCTTCGGTCTTGCTCACCGCCCAGGCATCTCAGGCTCATAGAACATTTACAGACTCACCTGGATATCGAATGACGGTCACGCAGCCAAAGAGCTTGACCACATACTTGTCAACGACCGGAGATGCCTGAAGTCTTCCAGGTTTATCGCGGTGCTGAAGCCTCTGCCAACACCGATCACTGACTTCTTGTCGCACAGGTTCGTATCAATCCCTTCATAAAGAAATCTCTGCCTGAACGCCGCCCAGACCACCATTCTTCTAACAGACTCCTTGGTGGCAACCAACTACTCTATAGCGGGATCCCAATACGACGCTTTATAGCGTCGACTGATTAAAACAATTAAACCCCACATTAACATTAATTGCAATACAAGGTTACAAATTTAAAGAAAGAACCATAAAGCTAAAAATAAAACATGAGATCACACTTGGTCATTTAATAAAAATGCAGCGCTTGGATAAAAACTGTTCAAGGTACGGTTGGAATCGACTCGGATTGACCTACATCTGGGTGAGATGTGTCTGCAATAATTGACTTCGCTTTCGTTAGGACACAAGCTTCATGAAGTTTGTCCAAAGAAGGTAGATCACCACCAATTATATTGCTGGCATTGTTCACAACACGACTAATTCAGTTCCTGACATCCACGGTACAGCTTCCATACCAGACAGCGGGTGAAAAGATAATACATGTACTTGGCCTCCAAAAGTCCAAAACATCACCTGACCGAAATGCAGCCTTCTTTTGAGCACAAAGTTTATCACGTATTGTCTCAATTAAACCAGGATTTATCAATAGGGGATCTTTTTACAGTTCTCTTTGGAATGCAAATCTCCTCACAGAACCATTACGACCAGTCCATTCATCAAGATTGTTGAACTGTCCACAAACATGTCCGAATCTCTGCATGCAAAGCAGTCCTGTAGTCGCTGAACCGCGATATCCGTCCATTGAGGAGAAAGCATTCAGTGGGATTCTGGCGTTTCAGTTCCATGTGTAGGTAACGCGTAGTAGTGTACAGCACATACTTGAACACTGGAACCAGGAGGTATTATATACTTCAACCGTTTCTCTTTTCATGTGGCAGTGATTGAGGTAAGATCGCTCAGAGTACGTGAACTTTTGAAAGCCACGGTTGGGTAACCTCGCAGGCCTGCACAACAACTTATGAGAATACCCATATCAATCAGACTCTAGTGTACTGCACGTCAGTCACGTATATTCACCCATCTTGAAAAAACATCTTGAAAATATATTCACCCAGCTCTGATCAATACAGTTAATACATGACACTGTTTGGGGCGGCGCATGATAGGGGTAGCCATAATCCGGCCCTGTCTCAAGTTCTGCGATACAGCTTCGCATTTTGATCAAAGGAGACAGCGGTGGAGGGCCGTAGCCAGTGTTCGATACTTGTGCATGCCGTGGTTTCACACGGAGACGCCGTATCGCGTGTTGCCAACATAGAGTACAACATAAAACGTTGAAAATATTTCTTGTAGGGTTTTCCTGAAGATATGCGCCATATACGGTATATATTTGCAATGGACGTTTGTAATGACACACATGATGAAGCCAAAAGTACAACTTTTTTTTCAAAAGAGATATTGATTTTATGCAACAGCGTCATTAGAAGTGAGTATCGTTCCTTGGCACAAATAAACTAATTTTTATCGACACCATTTAACCCTACTAAATTTTACACTATTCGAATATCAACTGGACTGTCGGTTAAGCAATGTATTGCTGTGACAGAATAAAATCACAGCGAACCTGATTTTAAAGTTTGTGAATCTGGCTTTAAGAAACTTTTGCATACTAATGACCATCAGAATGGCCTTTAGTTCGACGCTGGCTCCATATTGATATGTTTGACATTCTTGTGAAACCCCCGATTGCAAGAATATCATGATTTGTTTTGCACGAAGTGAGAATATAAGCGAAATTTCACTGCTCGAAAAAGACTACTGCATATTTGATTACATAAGATTGTTGACTCGCAAAATAACCCATCAAAAGTCTCGTTTCCATCACAAAAGCTCACTGGTGCTCCAGTGTATGACCCTGACCAATAAGCAAAACTGAGTTGTGCAAGGAAACATATTACGTGCTGTAACTCCCTAATGCATCCGGAACTACTGGTAAAAGGTATTGTCGCTTCGCTTCCGTGCTTCTATTTTTATAATTCAAGGTTGATTTCACATGCGACTGTATTCACAAGAGTGCGCCTCTAAGAGTTTGCAACACGTTGGCCAATCATAACGCGCCAAATCTGTCGACCCTTTCGAAACGCACACTGCGATTGGCCAACACGTTGCTAACTCTTTGAGGCGCACTATTGTGAAACGCCCGTATCGTTTTGTCTTAGTATCGGTAGCAAGAAAATGGCAGTTGGAAAAGGGAGATCACGTAGAACGCTCTGTGCATCATCCATTTTATGCTCAGAACGCATAAAATACGTAGTGTACATGTTCATGACAATGTGAAACCGTTGCAACCGGCCGGGTGGCTGCAACCCGCAACTTAATTATATGCTTAAAAGGATCAACATTTGTGATATGCATATGACGCACGTCGTACGTGACCTCCTTTTCAGACATAATTTCTTGCAGTCGGGATTTTCACAAGAATGTGAAACACATGAATATGAAGCCAGCGTTTAACTGAAGACCATCTTGATGGTCATTAGCTTGCACAAGTTTTTAAAGCCAGATTTAAGAACTTAAGAATTAGGTTCGCTGTGATTTTATTCTGTTGCAGCAATACATTGTTTAAAAACTAATCAACCGAAAGTTCAGTTGATTTTCGAATAGTGTAGAATTTAGTAAGGTGAAATGGTATCAATTAAATCAGTTTATGACATGTCAAGGAACGGTACTCATTTCAAATGACGCTGTTGCATGAAATGGCTCAATATTGTCACGGATATACGGCTATTCGTAAAAGTAATCTACAGTTTGCTGTAGATTCGTAAAAACTACACTCTGAACAAATGCGTGACGTCACAGAAATAGTTTAATGTCACAGAATATGCCGAGTCACTGTTCTCATTTTTGTTATGGATTCCCCCTTCAGGTTCTGCAGTGACCCGACGCAGCAACAGCTCTCTCTGTCACAGTATGCCAGATTCGGAGGACACGCCACTACTTGGCGTCCGAGTTAGGCCCACTTGGATTTCAGTGGTGCTTCTTCTCATCTTTCAGGTTTTAATCTTAGTTCCTGGTGAGACAGTGATGGCAACACTCAGCGTTCAGTTTGTGCGTTGCACCTTCGCCCGTCAACGCAACTTCACGCTTCCCGCGGATGGTAACGCTTGCGTTGCCACCAACACAAGTCGCGAACTGACCGAAATCCAGTCGGAAACCGCTCTGTTTTCAACATATCAAAGTTTCTTGACAGACCTAATTCCAGTCTTGACTGGTTTGCCTCTCATAGCGGTGTCTGACTTCACCGGTCGCCGGCCCATATTCATCTTATCATGCCTCGGTCCCCTGGTTATGGCCGCAACCTTCTTACTTGTATCTTTCCTCGAGCTTTCTGTTTACTACACTCTCATTGGCTCTGCCGTGTATGGCTGCTCTGGTGGGTTCGTTCTCCTAAGTTCGATTAGTTTGCTGTATGCAACAGATATTGTGCATCCCAAGAAGAGGGCCGTTGCGTTAGCAGCAATCTACAGCATTCAGTATATTGTTGTATATCTGGCCCCTCTTATCTTGAACAGTTTGCTGGGCGTCTTCTGTTCGTTCACTATTATCTATGCAATCATCGGTTGTTTCGCTCTGCTCGCTCTCCTGTGGATGTTACCGCCATGTATCATCCAAGAATCCACAAATAAGAAGGCTGTCGATTTCCGAAACCTGCTGAGGGAAATCCCCCGAGATATCAAGGACCTCTTCGTAGGTGCCACTGAAGGACGGCGGTGGAGACTCGTGCTGGACTTGATCTGCTCGGCGTCATTCTACTTCGTCTCTTACGGCTTCCAGAATACCGTCAATCTGTATGCACTGGGCAAGCCTTTCTGTTGGACGCCCTCACTTGTCGGCACTTTTGCGTTGTGGTACGGGGTACCGAATGCAACAGGTATTTCTCTAGCAGAGCCTTTCAGAAACCAATTCAGTTCACAGTTCATTCATTAAACACCAATGGCGACTTTTCTTTTTGTTTGTTATTAGTTTTATTATCTATATGGATTGAATATTTTTCAATATTCAACTCAATATACGCATAGTCTTGTTTGAGGTGTTAATAACAATAAACCGACCCAAGATAGAAGACAATTGGGATTCATCTTCTTCTGTTATTCCGTAGTGGCACCTTTCGCTGTTTGGTTTTTTGAAAAAATTGCTTCCGATTACTGGATCCTCTACTTGAGTACCTTTTGTGGAGTAGCACAGTATCTGATAACAGCGACAGCTACAACTAACGAAGTCTTGATCTATGGAGGTGAGAGACAGTAATTATGGGGGAGGGTCGAATGCCTGCACTTCCTGGAAGTGATGTTATAACATTCTGCCATGTATAGCCAGTCTCCAAATTTAAATTTGCATAGAATTGAAAAAAAAACAGATAAGGAATTGAAGGAAACACATTGCTCGTGCAGCAGCAGCGAATAGATTTTGTTCATCGACTGCCGTTGTACGTTGCATTATCAAAGAATAACTTGAAGGTTTCGACACACCGAAACTGTTTCTAATTTAAACTATTACAATTACTGGGTCAATCTGAATATTTGTGACTAGAAGTTTAAATTCTACCAGTGCACAGATTTATTTTACAAACCATTCCTTTATTAAAAATTGAATTGTTACATAGTTACATCAGGGTGAACAGTAGGCCTATACGTAGGACCAAATGTGCCTCATCTTTTTTTGTTTGGTTTTGTTTGTAGCAACCTTGGGCGGCCTTTTCTACGGTATTTCCCAACCTGTGTTCGTTTCTCTGATGACAAAATTGGTTGCACAAAGGAGCCACGGTGAGCAACACATGATATATTTGAATGCAGTCACCAACGCTCTTGCGAAGAGCACTGGTCAAGGTAAAATCATATACTCACCGTCCATGTTTGGCTCTTATTTTACTAGGGGCATTATTTTCGATGTACGTACTGGTCGTGTCCTCATCGTGTGCCGTTTCATTGGTGGTTGAGAGCTACACGTACGCCTTAGTTGTCCAGTGTGGTCACGCCGTCGATATCTTCTTCGTCATGGCTGGTATAACAGGACTCGTTTTCATACCCACCATGTAAGTTTTAAAGTCCAAAATAATGACAAAGTTTTGAGGAAAATTAAACTCTTTTAAAACGTTCGGGGCTATCTGCCTAAAGAGGCACACCGTCATCGGTTTAAACATACACAAGCAAAGTTTTTGTAACCATTGCTTCTGAAAACTCTCATTGTAATTTTTGTATTTCCATTTTTGTATTCCAGAGTAATGCACGTTTTGGAGCCAAAGGATGGTTTTCAGCCAAACGTTGCAAGAGAAGGGAGCGGCATTGAACATAAACTCGACAGAAGTACTCACAATGTGGCCAATTTATAAACGTATTTTGGTCGCTGCCAACCGTCTAACGCAAAACGTTGCATTTAACTGTACACAAATATAATCTATATAAACATTTCATGATTTTGGCTCGGTTTAGTTAAATGACATATCAAGTATTTCCTGAAGCGTGGTATATTTACATATGAATGGATATTAGAACGTACTCTTGTAGATTTTCATACCATGAAAAAACTCATCTCATCGAGTATTCCATCAGTGTTGAGTCATTAATGTCGAGATGCAAGCATTGGAGACTTGGATTCATGGAAAGGTGATATATATTACATCCTCACTGGAAATAATAACGTTATTAAATAATAATAATAATAATAATAAGTTAGTATTTATATAGCGCCCGTCCATGATAAAATCGTGCTCCAGGGCGCTTTCCAAAAAGTTAAGACACTGGTTAAAACTACAATACAATTACACTAAAAACAATAAAAATAGTAAAACAAATTATTGTAAACAATAAAAATTAGCAATTAAAAAGTTTTAAAATGATCCAAAGATCTGTAAAATATGCCTACCTCAAAAAAGGGAATTTGGACAATTAGATTAAAAAAAACGCTTGCTTAAAAAGATGAGTCTTAAAGCTTATTAGGACTTAAAAAACTAAAATCTTTTTCATATAGCTACATGCACATCATACAGAATTACTTTTCACGGCAAAAATACCTCATTAAGTGCTTTATTTCAACACCAGACCTGCCTTAAATTGACGATAAGATAAAAATCAGTAAACCATACTCAGAAAGCTTATCAGCGCTTTGGCGTCACACAAAATAAAGGACGCCTATGCTCTCAACTCTGTTCATTGGTTCTACATGGTTGTTAGAAAAAATCACGTGAACAAGTTCTGAAATGGACGTTAGATGACAAATGAATCATAATAAGCTTATGTAAATATAAATCGTCTCAAGGATTATCCGGCTGCAAGATAAAGTACTCGCGGGAATGCACTTTAGAAAAATGGCCAGACGGAAAACTCATTAAAATCGTATTTCTTAAATTCTATGATTGGCGCAGGCACCGAGTAATATATTAAAGATCATATTTCTTTCTTTTCGTCTAAGACAATTCTTTTGGTTGTATAATATTTCCATGTCATGAGCTCACTTATTTAAAATGAAACATAAACTAACTGCCAATATCTGCCGTCAGAATTGATATCTGTGACCAAATTCTAAAGGCCCTTGTCTCTGCTGTAGTGATACTCTAAGCATTTCTAGATATAAACCTTGATTGGCTACAGTTTTGACAGCAGTCAAGGAACAACTTCATCTGTTCAACTTGGAAAACCATAAACCGCTATAATCCAACTTGACGCACTGCGTGTTATTTTAAAATGAGCCAAACATCACGAGCGCAGTACCAAGGGATTAAAGCTAGACGCTCAGAACCCGGACCCACATCCCCGTCGATAATAAAATTCCACAGTGAACCCCGAGGCTATCAACATAAACGGGCGAGCATTATCGGCCTCTGTAGATTTAATGAACCGCAGAGTACAACTGACATGAGTCGGCTAAAAATGGTATTGCACTACATTTTTGCATTGTGAATAAGCGTCACGCACCCTACCTTTTATTATTCCAAACACACTACTTGCTTTAATGAACGTTCGTGTGGAAATTCTCCCACTAAGTGGATCGTGACTTATTTGATCCAAATATGATATTTTTACAATCCTGATTTAATAAATCGTTGGATATCAAGAATTGTCAAGTATGTCTGTGTGATTAGTTTTATCCTTTTCCACCCAACGTGTCAATCACAGAAACCTTTTTTGTACTATGTCACCCTATAAACAGGCTCTCGCCTCAGTGCCGTAAATTCTGTAAAATATTTTACCGCACATAACGTAAGCACTGCCCCACTTTGAAATGTCTAAAGGTAATCCATGTTTGCATTCAGATGTAGCTACGTGGCGGTTGTCCAAATAAACCGTACACTTTCCAATTTGTCGCTGACAATGTAAACAAGCAACAATTGCAACACAAAATACCACACCATCTGTGCCCAGTTTCATCGACCATTGATTCTCCACAATAAACGAGTCAGAGTACCGGCATAATATAAAAGTATACATAAGAACTGTTTCAAAAAACCCTGAACAATTAATCTTACATAATTTTCATCTAACAATCTAGTATTGGCATTCCGCTGTGATACACAGTTGAGTATTTTACATAAATGTACACAATGAACTGATTGCGAAGATGAAAAAACATGAGATCGACTTTTAGAGGGTATTTTGCAAACCAGTTCTGCAGCATGTTGCCTTGATTTCAGCCAGGTTCATTTGGCACTGCTCGGGAACCTCCTCGTCCTCTGGTTGCAATATTTAATGAAGTTGAGGCCACCGCGATGCGATTTCTCCGGGTAGGGATGCAAGGCATCAATAAGATTCTTGCGCTTCTTTTAAACTGACGGTATTTGATGGAGTAGATGAAAGGGTTGATGCAAGAGTTGAAGGCGGCAAGAGAGACTGAGAAGACATAAAAAGTGCCCGTGAAATCCAGCGGCCAGCCCAGGTTGTACATTAGGTAGATAATCTGATTGGCCGACCAGCACACCATGTACGACAAGAAGACCATTATCAATGTTTTGATGGTGTTGCGCTTAGCTCGGACCAGCGAGCCCCTGAGCGACTCCCCACCGTGTCGAGGCGAGGAAGATTGCTGGGCGATACGAGCCGCCCCGCGCTTCAAACAGAGTATGATCCGGAAATAGCAGAAGCCCATGAAGACCAGCGGGAAAAAGTACTCGATGCAAATGGTAGCGACGCCAAGCAGCTCCGGCGCCGCCACATCTCGAGGCAGGCATTTGTGGTCCGTGATCTCTCGAGTGGTGAACAAGTAGGCTTTGTATCCCACGGAGGTCAACCAAACAGAAGCGATGATCAAGCCGACTTGTTTTGCACCGAACAGCTTGACGTATTTGAACGGGAAGACGATGGCAACGTAACGTTCTAAGGTGAGCACCGCGAGATTAAAGGAGGAAGCGACAAAGAATGCCCAGAGATAGTAGCCCGTCTCCCAGATATAGCAGTACAAGACAGCGAGTGCTGGGTCACTGGGCATCACGAAGAAGCAGTTACTGCTAATGATCAGGGATAGCGAGGCAAGCAAGTCGATGACAGCTTGGTTGAAGATGAAAGCGTTTGTAACAGTCCTCATGACGGACACCTTAGCGATGACCAAGCAGACTAGACCGTTTCCAACGATACCGAGACATCCCACGATGGTCCGCACAATTCTCAAGACGAGATCTCCTTCCATCTTGCTTCGAATCCCAAGTTGTTAGAGTTCAATTTGAAAGGTACCGGTTCCACATGACGTTATACGCATGCATGATCTAAGTGCGTATCAGTTTGGAGGTGGTAAACATTTGCTAAAGAAATCGATTTGGTTTTCATGGCAACTTGCTGATGGACCAGTTACGGTAGATGCATAATATCCAAGCCTTTTATCCTAATTGGGCTCAAATTACCACCACGTAACTCCAGCTGATCCTTGCATTAACAACTAATTTGTGGCATATCAATCTGGAATTTGGAGATCCTTGCAATAAGAAAAGGAAGTTATCCTCTTGGGTGTCATTTCCAGAAATGAATAACGCTTAGGTGCACATGTCCACGAATTCAGTTTATCTCAGGTCCTTCAATAGCCGACTGAAGCCCTTCGTCACGCAATATCTCTTTGTTGCATACGATCAGTTGTTGATGAAAGAGTTACCAGGCAATTAGAGTGCCACGCGTCCCAGCGATAGTCACTCCGAAATGCGACTAATTCCAGCGTGTTTTAATTTGATGCTCTGGCATGATTCTCTCGTTGAAATGCTCTGTATTACGATGTGTTTTGCTACGGGCAGGGCCACTATGATACTCACACAAAGCAGGTTAGAGCAAATCCTATAAAGAGAACCACACTGGCGCTTGATGCAATCGGAAATCTGATTGGTTGGATGAAGTCTGAAATAGGGTGAATGATTAAACTGCAACCTTTTTTGCGTGTCTAGGGACTACGGCTCCCCGCGTGGCTTTCAATAATTGCTGATGTTTCCTGTGAGCCAGGGTGCGGGTATTAAATCTTTTTCGAGTGAAGTATAAAGTCTAAATGCAATGGAGATTGAACTATCTCTCATTTCAAATAAAAAAGTGCTCACACCAAAATTAACATCTTCTCACTCTTTCTAAATTGATATCAAGTACCTGAAATCATTCTGCTTGAGCTCTGAATTAATTAAAGTTTGATTCTTGGCGTCGCTAAGAGTGCTCCTTAAAGATTAATCATTGATGTAAAATAAGGCGAACAAAACATTGAGACATCTTGGATCAAATATGTGAGGCATTACAAAGTGGTGTCTGGTGAAACAAAGTCCACTTTCTAAAATATTACATAGTTCAAATTAAGCATCAGTTTTTGGGTGGAGGTAATTTTGTACAGAAAAGGGAGACGATTTCATTTAAATATCAAAGCAAATATTTCTCCATCCTTCCCAAAGCAGGCAGTCTTCAGGAAAATTGGGTGTTTCTTTTCGGGAAAAATCAAAATGCAACATAGACAAAAAAGTATCACTCTTTTAGACGAAAAAAAGAAAACACACCCAGGAAAAACGGCTGGGTGCTAAATTTTATTAATTGCTTTAGTTACGCCACCGGTTCCCTTGACTATTTAATTAAAAGCTTTAAAAATGTGATGTACAATTTCTTCTTTATTCATCTTTCTTTTTATATCAAAAAGTAAATTCAACAAAATTAAAAACAGACCTTAAAGACGGTCAATACAAAGGTACAGTAACGTCGACTTTTGCAACGTAAGCGTTCCTAAATCCTATGTTATTTTGAGTGAGAAGAAGCTATCCGCTTGGAGCAGAAGCAACCTCCTTATTAGTTGAAAAGAGCCAGGTCGGTGGGGAGTGTTTCTCTTGTAGCAACGCCGCGACCATAACGGGTAAGTTTCGAGGTCGCTCGTAAACCAGCGAAGTGCAATTCCCACCAAAGGAGCTTCCGTTGCTTTGAAAATTGCGCCCTCTCTTGGTTCAGCTTAGGGTTGACATTTCCAACTGTCTTACTACTGGACCCACTCGCGTTGCATACATCCAAACTTGTCCTAAGAACTACCAGGCTTCAACTCTACATGACGCATTACCGGTACTCATTGAAGAAGAGGAGACAGACTTTTGTTTGACAATTTTGTTTTATCGACACACTAACTTTATTTAGATAGCCCCATTTAAATTCCACCAATCCGCTCAATCTATGGATCTTGATGTTTTACACCTTATGGCTGAAGTAAGGAATTCAACGAGTCGCAAAGATGATAGATGCCAATAGAGAAGTCGACAACCTACCTGTATTGCAAATGGTAGGGCGGGCATTTCTCATGGAAGCCCACAATCTGGATGATATCCCCTGAACGGTATAGCGGTAGAGAATGCAGCAGCTTAAAATTCAATTTCTAACTATGCCATATAAAAAACGACGGGAACATCCATTCAAATGGCCTTGAGGTTTGTTTCCGATGGCATACATGAACAAGTCGTACCTTTTGCATAATGGTCCTGGTGTTTCTTGCGGAATCCTGAGATGTCTATGGCTTCCAGGGCGACTAGATGTGGCCAGATTCTCTTTGCGATTCCTTGAAACCTTTCTTAAATTCCTTTCTCAAATGAGACACTCAGGCTATAGTCCGGTCTGAGGTAGTCCTCGAGAGCCTGGCGCACACCGTTAAATAAGTCCAATTCAACATCGCTGAACAATCGGTCTCGAGGACACTGAAGGCGCGGTGCAAACGGATGTAAACACAGCACACAACATACCAAGACTGCGGTCCGCAATCGTGAACAGCATTTGAATGTAGAACGACGTCGGCTCATTGGAAAAGGTGAAAGCGGTAAGAGGTGAGCTGTGTTCGAACCAGGGTATGAGATGTCCGGCCGGTGGGTTAAAGAGCGTATATGCAGCCACAACGCTGCCTGATTTGGTGACCCAACTTTGGGGATGGATGTACAGCAAGCATCGCTTCCGCATTGGGCTCCTGTGGCCAATTGCTTCCCCGGTAGACTGACAAGCGTTCTATGTTCAGGCTAAGTGCATCACCTGCAGGAAACCAACGTAAGGTATTTTATTTCCAGCGCCAGTGGTTCTGGAGGTAATGCCAAATCACATTGGCTTCTCGTCAAGGAAGACCCCTTCCTCCCCGTCAGCTAGTCGCTGGATGTAATCCTTGAAGTGATCGTAAGTGGTCAGGGGATGCTTCTTACGGAGATCGTCCAAGGACTGGATCTCCCCAAGACGGTTCTTGCGCCCGTACTCCGTCTTGGTATGTCATCTATTCGTCTTTCTGGGTTTCTCGTGGATGTTCCCACATGTGGTTGGACTTTGCCCAGATAAAGGGCGTGGCTAGTCCTTCCCCCTGGTGTCGTTTGTAGGACAAGAATAGAGTGGTTAACGTGTGGCTCTCACAACATCGAAGGGACGAGATGCGGAAAGGCGGGGGGGGGGTGACTTACCTGGCCATGGAAATTTGAAAAGCAGGGTGGCGTATTCGACACCATGTGACACTATATAGCGTGTGGATGTTAAATGTACATCCGTATTACATTCTTTCAGAATCTTCCATCAGAATGGCATATTTACGGCTTTTTAAATCCAAAAGTTAGGGGGATCATATATACCCCCTCATCCTCTGGGATGTACACCCATGGTCGTGTCCAGATGTTGCGGTCTGACAGGCAAACGCTTGGCAACCTTGATTGCTACTCGCCCCAACCATGGAGCAGCCCAGCGCTCAATCGCAATCTAGCTACACGTACAACCATCACTGCAACTCATTGAGCAGCCTACTCAAGCGCATTCTATCTACAAGCATCACTCCAACATATTTTTATCATTTTTTCAAGGCTTATTCCCCCTGGGTTTTTTCCATCAAGCAAAGACCAATGCAGTTGTAACTGTTAAAGTTAAGTAGGCTTGATAAACTCCGCAGCCGTCCCCAATTTTCTCGAGAAATCGCCGCTGCTTGAACAGTCGACGTTAGAAATATCTCAGGTGGCGTTAGAAATAAGAACGGTACCATTATAAATAGAATATCATTCATCGTTCGGGGAATGCGTTCAGTCAAAAAGCATGCAACCATCAAACCCGTTTGAAGTCCGCGCTTTCAAATACGAGGGACGGCCATGGAGGAATTCGTATTCCTCTACGGCGGGACTATAACCGCATGCTCTACAAACTAATCTTGTCTAATATCTTGTTATATACCCACATATCAGTTACCTTTACCTATTTGCGGGGTGTGGTAGTCTTCCAAAGATAGATAATGGCTGAATAAGACGGCAGCCAAGACGGAGGAGATAATCCCCCAAGATGCACAGCGAAAAGTCCACGTCAACGCCATCTTGAATCATATATCAGTGCATGTATATGCCCACTTTTTTAGGGTGGTATGGGCTATTTTGAATCATCCCCCACCTTAATGGTGAGCAAAAAATTCAAAGCAAAATTGTGAAGAATATGTCTAATTCCCAGTGACTAAAATGAATTTAATGTCACTCAAAAAGGGCACGGAAAACAATTCTGAAAAGCCATAGATATGTCATTCTGTTTACATATTAAAGATGTGCTTCAATATCATGGACATCGACCTATATATAATGTATAATGATGTCTACCCCCCGCACTCCAAAGTTTCATGGCTGGGCAGGTCATTCCCCCCCCCAATCAATTTCCGACACTAATGCGCCACAAATGGCAGTTACACACCGTGCCCCAAAATATTAAAACTTTAGTTCGTAGGGTCGCCTTGATTTACAAAAGAGGATTATCCAAATAAGCTGAACCTGAAACATTTTAGTGTCAATTTATATCTGTTTTATATACAAGGACCTTGTAACTGGTCTTGTGCCTGGTCTTGTGGTGGTCTCGACTACAACACTGATTAAAAAAGAGCCAATTTTGCGCGGTGTTTCATATTGATACGGGAGCTCGTTAAAAATTCCATCATGTGTACCTTTTTGTTGATAAGTACAATACCAAAATAAAGAAGAGAATGTTTAAAAGGCAATGTGCATGCACATGCACTGAAAACATGAAAAAAAAACAAAAAAACAAATCATTTCTTCGCTGTAGACAGTTGCATTGGATACAGTACCGGTGAGCTTCCTTTCCAGGGTCACTGCTGGAAGCCATGTTGGAAATAGAGTACATGTAACTACTGCGGACAAAGTTGCCCCAGATGGCCCAATTGTGATCAGGATGGTTTCAACCAATGCTGGCCTGGTAGGTCATTTGAACACAACATACCTGTACGGCCAACATGCAGGTAATTCCTTGCGAAACAAAACGCTACTCAATAAAACAATTATGCAGGTCATCGTGTTCGTTCACTCCTGGACATTAATGCAACGAGCCCGTTTCGTGAAGCAGTTCAGTGAATTTAATGCAATTTTCAGATGGCTTAACCGAAACGCAGTACGGAACATGGTACACAGCCTTAACATTTGGGGGAGTATTTCAATTTGTACCCGTAACTGGTGGAGACACACTAATGTAACTGCTCCTTTATTTAAAACCTTTACACTGAACAAAAGCCGACGATGAATATCGAGCTGAGCATATCTCTCTGAATTCCGAACTGTAGCAACTGAGACTACTTTTACATTAATCGTAGATGGACAATCAATTTATCATGAAGCTGTTTCATTCTTGTTTCGTTGATTTTTAGTGTTTTTTCGGTTTTCGGTTTTTTGTTTGCTTTGTATATTTCAGCGGCAAACCATTTGTTTTCGACTGGATTGTATGTCTCTGTGAATGATCCTGTGTATGAATATGTACACTTAGCCTGCCATTCACGGCAAGTCTGGATATATTTGCATTAAAGAACAAACTAGCTGCCACTTGCCCGTGTTATCCCTTTTTCCTTCACCTCCTTCAGTGTCGTTCAATCAACTGTGCACCGTGGATCTTGAAAGCCTTGTACCAATTCAACTGTTTATGTCTGCATCTTAAGAAAATCGATACCAAGAGTTCTTGGGAGCATACAACATATAAAAAGACTGTATCCCACTTTTAAAACAGCTCATATTTTCATGAATATTGAATCACAAAGAAACAAACACAAATCCACAAAGCAAACATAATTTAGGTAGCCTTATTAGGATAATTTCCATGTTCTTTTGCTGTAATTTAATTGGCTACTATCTAGGTCAAGGGTTAAACATCTGAAGGTGGTGACAATCTCCTGCGTCTCTTGTGATGTTTCTTGTGACTGTGTTTGTGTTTCCTTTTATGGCCATGACGGGGATGCTTTTCTTTGCTTGGTGATCTGTGCGACAAAGAAACATGATTTAAGTATTACACAGAGATAAGAAGAATGCCTCGTCTTCTAAATGTCTCATACAAGATGGAACCTGGCCGATATGGAGCCTAAGTGTCTCCTACACTCACTTTTTTACATTGGAAAATACTGATCAGCTTTTCCATCCCTGGAAGCAAATGTTCCAGGTTTCGTGCTAAGCCTCAATCTTACTTTCCACTCAAAAGCCCGGAAAGGCAAAATACAAGTATGCTGAAAATATTACCTTGAACTGCTCATATCCAGTGATTTAGACAAATCCTCTGAGTTCCCTTCGGAATCTTCCCCTGTTGACCCCCCTTCAAAGCAGAACAGTCCAGCTCTACTACCTTTCTCTGGCAGGTCAGACTGGCCTGTGTCTTCAGCTGCCTTAAAATCACTTCCAGGGATTTTAGATAAATCTTGCTTCATTTCATCAGCTGACATTTCTCCATCTTCTTCCAATCTATCAGCTGTTTCAGACTTGACAAGGGGTCTATCAGTGAACGTTTTCAACACTTTGCTATAATGATCACCATTTGTTGAACTCTGCTGCTGATACTCCACCTTCGATATTCGAAGTTCGCCATCAGTGTTTACTTCGTGGTTCAGGGTCTCTCCAGAGCTAAGTTCAAGGTGCTGAATCCTGGATTTATCCTGGACTGGTTTACATTTCTTCTCAGGGCATTCGGTCCTGGCATGGTTAATATCATCACTGTCAGATGATGATTGTTTATCATCCTTTGGATTGTTATGACTTCTCTGATTCTTGGACATGCCCTGACTTTTGGGGGGACTGACACTTCGGGACCTGGACTTTCTAGGATGATTAGGGCTTCTTGATTCTCTGTGTCTTGATTGATTCCTGGAGCTGTGCTTTGATGATTGATCCTGGCTTCTCATTCCAGTGCTTCCAGGACTTCTTGGTGAGCCTTGTCTGGACTTACTACCACTTCTTGACCTATGTCTTCTGGATGACTGATAGGGACTTCTACTTGGAGATCTACTACGGGTTCGAGATCTTTTCTTCCTAGTTCTATCACGGTTCCTAGATCTGTGCCTTCTTGATGAAGAATATCGGAGTCTACGTTCTCTGCTTCTGCTACGTTCTTTTGACCTTTTCCTTCTGTGTCGGCTTCGACTACGGCTTCTACGTCGTTGGTCTCTATTTCTCTCTCTACTCTGACTTCTGTTACGATTCCTTGGACTCCTGTCACGATCGTATCTCCAGCCTCTCTGACTCTGCCCAACTCTGCCACTGAGTCCCTGGAAGTCTCTGTCAGCATCTGCAAACTCACGGTTCGGGTTCTGAAACACATGCAGAAAGTTGCAGTTCTTGCCACGTGGACATTTGTTCTGCTGAAACATGCCTAAAATTCAAAGAGAGGAAACACCTTGTGAATGGATTCTTTCTGTAAGTAAATATCTACTCAGCAGAAAGGCTGTGGATACACCTACCACATATAGCAGCCTTCCAGCTGTTAACTGGAGTGAAGACACATGACAGTTGTCTGCTAGCATAGAACCTGCCGTGGAAAGCTTCCCTTGCTTTGCTACTTTCTTCCTCGGTCTTGAACTGGACGTAAACATTACCTCGCAGATGAGGCTCCCAGTTGCAGCACACCTGGAATGATAACAACTGCTTGGAACGCAACCTTTCCTTACACAACAACCCCAAATTCAGTACGTTTGGTCATTCTTAGAGGGAAGACCAAAATTTGGGGAATAATTTCTGCAAAGCTTTTGATCATGTTGTACCTTGAACTGAACTACCGTTCCAAAGTCCTTCAACTCTGGTAATACATCATCGTAGAACTCCAGGAATCTCTCATAAGCATCTCCCTCATCATACTCCAAGCCCATGTCAGTGTCATACTCATCTCTGTGGCTCTGCTCGAGGGTGAAATCGGTGTACATGTGGGGGAAGAGGAGGGTGGTGCTGATTTCAGGTGGGATGTGGGTGCGGGAGCACCTGTTAATTTAAGCAAGAAATCAAAGAAATGCTAAGGTCCAGTGGGTAATCAGGTGCTGAATGATACTCAGGCAGATATAATGCAGAGCCAAGACTGGACAGAAAAGGATGTGAGACTTTCAATAAAACAAGTGAAGTAAGCAGTGCCTCAGCTCAAGTGAGCAAAAAATAGAAACAATTTGCTTTTGGATACCTATCCCCAAAGCGACAGCCTCCAGTTTTACGGAAGAAAGAGCAAGGTTCCTGCTTGACATGTTGTGGCTGGCGTGGTGCTTCTGGATTATGCGTCGGTCCATCTTCCTGAAGAATTAACACAAATTTAGGATCCACCGTTGGGAGCATTTTACAGAAGTAAAAATAAATACAACCATGACAGATTTTTATACTATTTCAAAACAGGAACTTTATGTGTTTTTGTTTTCTTGTATTGTACGAAACAGTTCACTTGAATTGTTACATCAGATGATAGAATACAGATGGTAAATGGATACAATGCTCAACAATGACACATATGACCTAAGGTAGCAAAATAGACGCACGATAGATAGGTGACTATTTTTTACAGGTCTTAAAGAAACAAATGCAACAAAATGTCACAAGTTTATGTCATTAGAAGCGGCAAGAGAAAACACTTCCTCACCCTATCTGCTATTTCCTTGTCAAGTTGCTGCAGGACAGCCTAAGTAGAGACACAGGAGCAATGGCAAGTCAATGGTCTGAGAATCTGGTTAAGTTGGCTCTACATTTTTCAAGGCTGCAGGCACGGACATAATGTTCGTGTATTATGATACATTTATGGGCTTCTCACAGTCGAATGATTTCCACAATGTATGTTACTAAATCAAAACTTCCAACCTCCATGATACAACATGTCAGCTACAAGGACAGGCAATAAGCAATTAAGTTGGTAGTTTGGCAGTCAAGCACAAACACAGTCAGCGAACTTTATAGAAACTAAGCCTCACAAGAAAATGAAAAAATACACTTTCCAGCTCCAAGATAAATCTGTGTTAGGATCTCCACATCACAGCAAAATGCACTACAGAAATGACATACAAAAGATACATTCTCATGGCTTGAGCCTGCAAGAACACTTGACTGCTCGTGGCAACCAGCTGTAAACTGCGATGTATATACAGTTAAGGAAAACAGATTTTGCATTCATCACAACCATTTGTGTCACTCTTATCATAAATGTCACAGTATAAGGTACACAAGGAGGGTGAAAAGACAGAAATGAAATGGAAAAAAATTACAAATGAATCAATAAAAATTTTTAAATAGTGGATATATGTATCCTTTGTTCCAGCATCGCGAAGCATTGCATTTGCAGGGTCACCTCGAGTTCCCGCTCTTTTTTGCTTTGGCTTTGGTTCTCCTTCTCCTGTCTTGCCTCCCATTCCTCCTGGATGCGTCGCTATGGCAACAAGAAAAACAGAGTCTGATTTTGCATAATCTTATTTTCTGTTAAAAAATACACACACACTGACTCAGCTACATATTTGTTGGCTATATCTTTGACAAAACAGGGCTAGATCTACTCAGGTCACTGCATTAACTTAGATGTTTGTGGCAATGTGTGATTTGGATAAGTACACGCCATGGAGGAAGTATACACTCAACTGACAAATTTGTACATAGCTAACTAAGATGCTGATTGGGTATTGGTTCCGTTCATTCCTTTACAGTTGAACGGTTTTAATAGTGTTGTGCGTGTATATAAGGGTGTGTCTCGTAATAAAAGGTTGTTGAAGTTCTTGCACAGCCATTTTTAGTGTTTGTTCCGCTCTTTTGGTTGTTATTACTTGCTTCTACCTTATAACAATGTTTTAAGGACAGTGATGGTGTCATTTTAATAATGTACATGCACGGATATGAAATGTTTTTTTTTTTGTAATTGAATTGTAGAACGGAGTCCATTACCTGCTCTTCTAATAGTTTCTGTTTTTGGGCCTCCTCTTTCTTCTTTCTTTGCTCAAATGCCTCCTGGGCGAGCCTCTCTCGTTCCAGCCAAGCTTCATGTGCAATTCTCCTGCAGCAAAGGAGGTACTAACACGATGACTTGTCTTCTACCAAACATACCGAGCTTACCTGTAGACCTACTTACATGTACTAATGTGGAAATCAAATGTTCTACAATGATAAACTGGATCAGATATTGGCTGTGCAGTTTTAAACCAACAAAAAAAGTTTTTGTATGCATGTACAGAGTACGTTCCTGATAGCAAGCTCACACTTTTAATTACCCTCATTTTGGTGTTTCTGTGAGGGAATATTTCTTGAATCTAACTGATCTCTAACCTTTCTTCCTCTTCCTTCCTCTCTTCTTCTCGTTCTATCTTTGTGAGTCTTGCCACCTCCTCTTCCGAGGGTTTTTCGTCAGGAGGTGCATTCTTTGCCTCTTGTTCAGCTTGGAATTTTGCAGCAGCCTGCCGTTGGCATCTCCGCTTCTCCTTCTTCAAAAAGGCTTTGTACTGTTTGTGACTGAAAGTAGGAATTTAAAGAAATCAGAATAAAAGCAACGCATTATAAAGAATAAAATTGAAAATGAAGCACTAGTACAAACTTCACGTACCTGACTACATTCTTTGGCACTATTAAATCATCAGTTACAAATGACTTTTGAATCAAAAATGTTATCACTTACAGTGCTTCTAACCTTTGGCAGTCTGGCATTACTGAACCAACTAATATTCAACCCTCTCCCTCGGTTGTTATCAACATGTTTGCCATGCAAGAGCACAAGGCAATGATGAGTGCATGGTTGAGCCAATTGTTGATTAATCACATTGCCATCCGCTTTGAATAATATCCACAAAAAGATTTCAAATGTTTTTAATTGAAATGTAAATTCTTTATATGGGGATTGTATATTAAGGAACCCCGTTCCTCTACATGTAAGAGAAGGGAGACTTACACGTTAGTTTTTGGATTCACCTTGGATGGTAGATGACTCATATGATGATACATGTGGTCAGGTTATAATACTATTAAATCACGCTCAAAAAATAACATAACTGTCAGTGCCGTGACTGTAGTGCAGTGGCGTAGTGAAGGCATTTTCTTTGGGGGTGTGTGCCAGCCGCGCCAGGGTCAATTTGCCGCCATGGATGTACGTCATTAATTCATGACGTCAGTTTCAGTTTCATTTGCTGACTGACCCTTTATTTGCCGACTGAAAGGAATTATTGGGGGGTGCAACATCCCCCCCCCCCCGCTCGCTACGCCGCTGCTGTAGTGTAGGGCTGATTATGAAGAGGGCAGGGTCTTTAATTTCGAGGGGAAACTATTGGTTTGACACATTACACAAAGTGGATTCAAATCTGTATCGCTGTTTTATATCAGTAAGAAAGGCACATTTTCACACAATTTACAATTCAAAATTTCCAAAAAAATTAGGGTCAGCGAGCAATAAAAGAGAGAGCGCTGCCTTTGAACATGTTGAAAGTTTGGGTTTGGGGTGGACTGGCCAGTTTTACAAGATTAAAATACCAAAAGACCAGGGCCCCAATATATACAGTCCCCCTTTATATTCACTTGGGGTATTCACGTCTGCATGTTATCGATAAATATTTTGAGAATGCCATAAAACAAAGGGAATAAAACTTCGGCCTACCTCAGCTTTTTTGGTGCATCGCATGGACGTTCAGGATCCATGTTTGAAATGGCGCCCCCAATGTTGACAGCTTGTTTAGAGTTTGCGCTTCATAACCTTGCGCCGCTATACAAAGTAGTTACAAAAGCCATCCCCCCGGGAAAAATGGTTTGGGTAGTATTTGTTTGCTTTTAGCAGTATTGATCGCTGTGTTATGTTTTAAAATATCATAGCTTTTTGATGATAGTATTTTGTAAATTGTCTGCCGGTGGATTCTTTTTCCTCGACTCACCATTAGTGTGCGTAGGAATATACAAATGTGTGAGACGGTTCGATATTGTGCACAGCCAAATTTAAATGTGATGTTTGTGTTTACAATGGACAAGCAAAAGTCAACCGCAAAATAACGTATTTTCTAATATAACGTGAGTTAACAAAGAACTGCTTGTGAGTATTCTTTTTTGTTGCATTTAAATAAGGAAATGAAGTGGATGTGGAGTTTTGTGTTGGATTTTAAAAGATATAAACGAGGAAAAGTTATTGTGAATAATTTTGCACGTGCGTAATCACCTTACCCAATTGCGCTATTACTGGCAGAGACCCCCGGCTTTATATTGGAGGCGATCGATCTGCATGATCACTCTGCTCAACTGGTCTCCAGGCCAACTTTCCTTTTTTGACATGTAGGCCTACATGATGTACTGTAGCCTGTAGGCCTATTTGAAACTAGCAGTGCACCTGGAAGCTAGCCTAAAATCGATGTACTTGTAGGGCCTACGGAGACCTACATCATTCACAAAGAATAAGGCTGTTCATGAGATTCACCAATCACTCAAACTAGAGCAAGTGATTGTTCCAGGCTACACAGGCCTGTGTATACACTGTACCGCCTTACAGCCATACATGACTGGGAAAGAGTTCCATAGGCCTGCGCACGCATGTATTTCATGTATTAGGCCTATACGGATGCCAGTAAATAATGCTACAGTGTACTGCAGTATTAGCCATATCAGAAAGCAAAAACCTGCTTAGAAAAGTTCAATTTAGGAGGGAAAATACTGAGTCATTTACACTTAGAATTTTTCAGACCTATCTCAAAGGATTTATGCAATCGGTGTCAACACTTGTCAAGTGGTGTCTGCATATAGAACTCTTATGGAACCCATGACTGGACATGATGAACATGGTGAAAGCAACATTAAACTACTTGCATGACAGCTGATTCAACAACTGTTGCAAATATTTTTGGAGGGTTCTGATGGTTATTGCAATTTTTGCAAAAGGGGCCAACCCCAAGCAATCATCATCAGCTGTCAAAAATTACATGTGCATGCACTTGTTTTAATCTTGACAGCATGCTTGGCAAGTCGTGTGTTCAGACGTTAAGTTTTATCAAGAATGTTAATACCTACAGACTGTATCATGCATCAGGCTCCACGCACTTTATTGAAATCGTCACTGGTACTTGTCTTTTACAGATCAATGGCTTCTATAGCAGACACCGACAGTTTGAGTGGCATTGAACCTTTGGACAGTACAGCCACATCCCCTCTTCTCAGTGCTCCCCCAATCTCCGCCCATCCTGACAACCTCTCCCCAGCCAGCCAGCTGTCCAGTCTCAGAACTTCTTTGGTCCAGTCTAGTACCCTTCTCAAGGGCAGTGATGAGAAACCAGGAAAAGGTTTGGACTTGGAGGACAGTCCTGAATTCAGACTCAGCAATGTGTCAACATTGACTCAATCTTCCCTGGAGAAGCACAATCTCTCCCATCATTATTCCGATATGGATGGCAAGAAAGAAACACAGGTTAAAGGACAGTCTTCCCTGCCAAGCACCCCTTATTCCTCCAAACAGCAGGACTGGAAGCAACCACAGAGGCTTCTCGCAACGGCAGATTACAAACACCAGTCTCATTCCCAGACACATCCGAAGTCCTGTCCAAGCCAAGACATGTCCACACACCAGCACCAGACTGCGTCAGCAAACAGGCAGTTGTTCAACAGCCAACCAGCAAAGACGGCTTCAACAGCCAAAAACAAACGAGCTGGTTCCAGAAAGGAGCCACATCCTCTAAATGCTTTGTTGCAAAGTTCAGAGATGTATGACAAAGGCCAACATGATGGGAGTGCCCATAAGCCGGAGGATTATTCCACAGTACAGGCCAAGTCTCTCAATTCAAGCCTGTTACAAAGCTATCACAGCAGTGACGTAAAACAAGCCACATTGTCAATGAACTACCGTCAATCAAGTCAGAGGATTGACATGAGTAACACAAACTCTCGTGATAAAACTCGTCAGAGTCATAGTCATGATTTGCTCCCAAAACCAAGGGTAAGAAAAGTTTTAAGATTAAACTTTCTGATCGTCAATGATGATACCTGTGTGTGTGTGGTACATGTATGTAATTAATAATGGCCAGCAGTAAGGGAGGCATGATTACAGAGGGGTTGCATGGATTTGGGGTTTTTTAGATTTGGTCATTTGCTGTCATGGTTTTGGATTTCTTTGACCACAGATTACCACAAGCGCTGAGAAAAGTTACCCAGAAATTCAGGAAATGGAAAAAGTGAGGCGGAGCTTGTATCACATGGTTCACAGCTCAGTGAGTCGTCCAACACTCGGTGAGAACATGTCACGTGTTTACATGCCGATGCTTGACGGAATCGACTTAAGAGGACTTGATACTTGTATGACTGTGATTTTGTTTTGTCGTGAAATGTAAATAACTTGAAAGTTAATAGGCATTGTGACTTTCTCAGGGCACTTCTTGTTGGTGATTGAGTCCATCACAAATGCTTCTGATTTCACTGCCATTTCATCCTACACGTATTCTTGTTCAGACCGAGACAGCCTCGAATCCAAGCAGAGTGTTGGAGAATTGCTGGCAGCCAACCACAGCGGAGCAGAGAGTGACTTCCCAAGGGAATCATTTGAAAGTGCTAGGACCGAATCTTTACTGGGGTAAATTTTGCCAAAAGAAGAGAAAGCGATAGTTGAGTGAGTTTAACGTCCACTGCAGAGAAGGAAGAACTGTGAGGAAAGGTTTTTTATCAAGTCTGCCTTTCTCAAATCCTTTGAAATACACAAGAAGGTTTGTAGGCACTTTGTAGGATCTAGGATGGTACCTCCAGGTCAGTTTTACTGTACTTGGGACCTTACGTCCCCTCAAAGTTGCAAGTACAAGGAATTTGTTGGATTGTGGAAGACGCAGGAAGGACCTGGGGTCAAGACTTGTCTTGTTTTCTCCCATGCTCAGTCCGCATGCTTACCAAGACGTCTCACCACTGACCATGGACAGCGGTTTAGGGCTATCCTCCTTGCGGAATCTGAGCAACATTCACGTCCCGCCACCACACGTTTCATCGAGGGATGGCACGCTGTTTACCGAGAATCAGATGCTGAAGGATAGCCTGGAGAAGGAACGGTACAGGCGGAAGGTGAGGCCGCATCCAGACATGTTAGATCTATTTCAAAGGGCAAGGTCAACCAACCACCATTCGTCGACTACCACTTGATTTGCTGCATGCCATGCCTAAAATATATTTTATGCACAGGTTACCGCGGATCAGTTATTAACAAATAGTCATTGTTCAAATTGGCAGGTATTTGTACGCTCTTTGCCTATCATTTCTTTATCCCACTCCTGGAGCATCCTTTTTCAAACCCATCTTTCCTTCGACAGCACTGTGAGAAGGAGATTGGTGACCTACAAGCCCAGCTGCTAGAGACTCAACAACAGCTGGCGATAGAAGTCTCCACCAATCGTAAGAAGGATGCAATGATTGAACAGCTTGATAAGGTATAGCACTCCCTGGAGTCTCCTGTTACCTTCTTTTCCTGTTGGTATACCCTTGCCATTCGGTAGCTCTCCTCTTTTGAAAAATCCAAAGCCTCATCCGCAGCAAAAAAACCTCTCCGTGTCTTCAAGGAGGGTGTGAAAGCAAGTGACAAATTTTCTTCTCAATTGAAGCAACATCTGGGACTGTTGCTCTTTGCAGTTTGAAATATTGCCATAAAGTCAGTTTTAGTTACATAGAACTAATTCACCGTTACCATGTACCTGAACCCAGACGCTGGCCAGGATCGTGGATGGTTGGAGGAAACAGGAACAGGAGAAAGATGAAGCTCTTGAAACACTGACAAATGAAAAAGAGGAAATGTTGCAGGAGATTGATCAGCTCAGGAAGGTATGTCATGGCCAGAAAGTTGGAGATACCTTTCCAAGACTTCTTACTTGTGTTTGTTAAGAAGCTTGAGACTCATAAACCAAAATTCAACCCAGCATTAAAATTTGTATAGTGTGTTGAGCTTAGTTATGGTTCTGAGGAAGTGGATCTGAACTTTTATGGCCAAATTTTCTTACAGCAGGTCTAAATGTTTTCCTGAAATTTATGTTGTTTGGTTTGTGGTGGTGGTCTTTCTGATGTCTGATTTTTTTCCTCTGGGACCTAAATGAAGCATGAACATTAACAGTGAGCATGCATTATGTTAACTTCACCGCAGGCTCTGGATGAATGCCAGAAGGAGTTAGAACAGGCCAAGGAAAAGCTGAGCAGCGAACTGCAGCAAGCACTGCAGTTGCAGCGAGACACCGTGTCTCAAGTAAGCATGTTGCTGGGAACGCTGTTGAAATTATCTGCAAAGGCTAAAAGAGGCAGGAGATCACCAATTGTGAATGAGGATTTATGAATACCTTGGATAATCTCCCTATTCAACAACGTGCAACTTGACCGCGTAGTAACATTTGATAATGCCCACTGCGTAAATCACGTGCTGGCACCTGGATATGAGACAGTTTAATCGATTCTGATTGGTCAAGAATCTGTTTACACGCTACTCGCCTTGCACGCTCCAAGTCTATATAAGGAGATTCTTGAGGACAATTTACGCAAGGAATATACCATAAAATGGACAGGGGTCTTTGGGAACATGGAAGTAAAATTCTAGAATACAATCATTGGAAATCCATCATATGTTCACTTCTTTTGACTCTCTGACTATAAAAAGTATTTATGAATGGGAATAAATGTGTGTTTGGCGTTAGTTTAAGACCGGCTCAGGAGACTGAATGCTGATAATGCCCTTGCCTCCAGCTCAAGCGTTAGTCCCATCCATTGTCCCGAGCCAGTCTTAAACACACATTTAAGACCAGCCAAGCACATATTTATTAAATTGTTATCCCCTAAATTGTCAGAAGCTTATGCAAAATAAATTCCCAAATAATGATGTTTGTCTCAGGATTTGAATTCCGCTTGTAAATGTTTGAGCTAGTTCATTGTGTGTATCCTCACAGTTGGTCTCGCTTCAAGAAGACCATTCGAAGCTTAAAGACCAACTAGTCTCCGAGCGGAAGCTGACAGCACAGGCCCAGCATCAGAGGGACAACGCCATTGAGGAGTGTCACCGCTTGGAGAAGCAAGTCAAGCAGGTGCAGCACATGCTAGCAGAGGTGAGGAAACTTTGGAATAGCTGAATGATTATGGATGTTACTCTTAAAATCTCCTTGTACAACATGGAGTTTACAGAGTGGAATCCCTCACAGCTTACGAGAAATTTATCAAGGGTTTGTTTTTGTCCCTGTGTTTGGTTCTTTTGTTTGTTTTGCGGGCCAGGAGAGACAGCAGAGCCAGTCAGCAAGGAAAGACTTTCAGGCGAGGATTGAGCACTTTGAGAAGGAACACCAGCAACTGTTGGAAAGACAAAAGGTAAAGCATATCCATCAGCATTGACCTCCCTTTGTGGCCTGTCATTTGCAAGGGCATTTCTGTGCAAATTCTGTGAGCTGCTCATTAACGTATGGCAGATTTCTTACTTTTTCAGGCTAAAATTGCTGAAGACAAAAGGAACTCTGAACTGTTGTCTGCCACACAACAAGAACTGACTAAGCTAAAGGCTGAATTTGATGATGCTGTAAAAGATAGAGTGAGTATACTTACTCTGAAGTTGGACTTGTCTTGGTCGTAATTCTTGTTTATTTTAGGCTTTGTTTTGCTTTATCCATAAAGCTTTCACATGCTTAATTATTCAAAACTGACTTCCTCTGTATCATCTGTGTAAAGTGTGTTCATTCTGGCTTGGGAGCCATTTTGTAGAATTCTCTGTAGTTTACAAAATAAAGATTCAGATATTATTTAAAGAAGGCCCTGTTCCGGTTTAGCAGGTGTTCGATCTTGAAAACTTGGTTGTTTTGGGGTTTTTTTTTCAGGAAAACATCCATCTGGAGCTGAACCTTCAGCAGGCCCAAGCGGAATCCGCCCAGCAGAAGCTGGAAGCCGAATGGCAGGAGAAGCTGGAGAGGCTCGTGGATGATCGGCTGCGAGAGCTTCAGTTACAGAGCAGCAAGACGGAAGCCGAGCTACGGGAAGCTCACCGTAAGCAGCTCAGTGAGCTTCACAACCGGCATCAGAACCAGCTACTGTCACAGAGGTCCACGCATACCCAGGACCTGGCCCAGAGAGACAAGAAGACAGAAGATCTCTCTCAACAGTATAAGACAAGGTCAGTAAGATAAGACAAGATTGCAGTGCACTGGATCATAGGGTTAGAAGGGACATGTTTTGTATGAACATTAAACACGTAAATCTTGGAGCTTCTCAAGATGAGTCACTCAATTTAGTCTCAAAAGTGTTACCTTATTCCCTCAGATTGGAGCAGCATCATCAGGATATGGCACAGATGACTCAACGTCTTAAGAAGGCTCAGCAACAGAGGTTGGTAGTTCCCAATATGTTTCCATATACTCTGCCTTAGGTGCAGATTCTTTGCTTCCTGTTCTACGACTCAGTCTTCATGTTCGCGTTTGGACCTTGTAATGTCACATGTGTCTGTGTTGTGTTTCTGATAGTTTCTTATCTGAATATTAGACTTTTCAGTAATCCCAATATGAGTAATGGTCATTAGATTGATTTAGAGAGGTGAGTTGATTGTTCTCAATTCAGGTCAGTGCTGGTGCAAAGACTTCAAGGTGTCCAGGTCTATTGCTCTGATGTCCTGTCACAGGTGGCCAGTGCTTCACCGCTTATTAAGGTGATTAACTCTAACCCTTTAGGGACCATTGAAATCATACGTATGCTTGTTGGATTCTGAATGGTAAGGGTTAACAGACTCTCTTAACAGGAATGACAAGATTTGTAAGGGTGGATCCACCATGAGGGCGTAGGGAGCACTATGTTATAGACATTAACTTTCTACATTTCCAAAAAGTAAAAGTAATTTGAAATGAAATTTAGAGTATTCCCAGAGGTGGTGGATTAAATGGTGAATACTTTTCTGATAAAACCGTCTAGTGGTAGTCAAGGCAAACTGACTGAAGGAGACTTTTTTCACTACTGTAATGCTGTTACCTAGAGTAGTGGTAACTTTGATATTTAAGTCTGTTTTTAATGAAACCTTTGCTCACATCTTCTAGCAGGAGCTAAGGTCAGGAATGGAAACAGTGAGGGAAACAAGTCACACTTCCGATACAGAGAGGACGCAGGGCGCCAGACTACAAGACAGCCCCATCACCATATCTGTGTCACCACCCCGCAGGGGAGTTGGTGTTGGGGCCGGCAATCTGGATGATAGTAAACAAGGTACAAATCAGCTGACCCCAAATCTTTGTCATTCTCATCCTGTAGATATTTCCATTGCAAAGCTCTTTTGACCTTTCCAAAGTTCAAGTAGAATTCATCAAGTCACTGATTACTACTACTGATGGTTTCATATAATAGTTACAGTTAAAGTGATAAGAGGGGCCTTCAAAACAATAAGACTCCTGTACGAGATGATTGTGAACGAATTCGTCGTAATGTCACAAATTGAAGCTGATGGTGTCACTGCATGTCATATTGCTTTCAATTCGAAATAAGCATAGCAGTCAGACACTGACTGGCACTCACACTACAGGGCGTTACCTCAAGTCCGGATTTTGGCTTTTTGGCTTCACTGCAGAGCACGAGGATGGAGATGGCCAAGAAGATGATGCCTTTCTTCTCCCACATCTTTCCCTAGCAACCTCTGTTGCCTCCCAAAGCTTTCCCTCCACGAATGCTTTCAGCTTCATCACCGACACCTCCTTCAGGCCCAACCCCATTGATGCCGAGCCAGTCGGCCAGTCTGAATATTTTAACATACCCACTGTCCAAGACACGACAGATAAGGAATTTTCTTGTATGGATCAAGGAAGATTGCCGAACAGTGACGGACAAATCAGAAATGATGGAGATACTTCCGAGGTACTAAACAGGATAGAACAGACTACAAAGGGCACACTGCATGGAAAGCCTCAACAAACTCAAGAGTTTCAGTCCAGATCTGCTCCTAAACCTGACTCAGGGTCAACATCATTTCTTGAGCCTTGGAGGAAAACAAATGGCATCCAAGACCCCAGTGCCCAAATCCTACTGAACCGTCCTGAATATCCATCAAGCATCATACTGGGGAAGCAACACCCCAACCAGGACTTGCAGGTTTCCAGTTCCAGAACCGATGCAACACCTACCAAGGAACCATCTCAGAGGAAAGGGCTTTACTTTTCCTCGGGGGAACTTATCCCGAGCCAGGACCTGATCTCTGATGGCCTGCGGCTGCTGGAAATGTCCCCTCCATCAGGTCACAGCTCCCCGCTGCGAGATCCTCCTGGAGATCAAGCCGGGATGACTCTTGAGGAGATACTTCGAGCAACAAGGAGAGGTTGGGCTGGCCTTGGGGAGGGGACGAGGCAAGACAGACAGGACGACTTCAAAGAATTTGGGGAGATTGAGCCATCATTTGATGATACAAAAACCACAAGTATGTGCATTTCAATTACCCAGTCAATCAATGCTAATCCAGCTAATGATACCACAAGATGCGAGATCTTTTTAAAATGGTTCCTTCAATTTTGTCAGATTCTGTGGCAACTTATCCCAGCGAAGACGAAACAGTCAGCGAACTGGAGTCGGGTCCAATCCATCCGGAGAGGTATACACCTGTTTCATTCATGGACCAAATCATCTCCAATAGCTTCCTCATCTATTCCCAGTCTCAGCTCTTCCTTTTTCCTCTTTTCCTGATTTGGTCTTTGTTTTTTTAAGGATCTGATGTATCTTATCCTTATGCAGTTCCTTACAGGTGCTTATCCACTCACAGTTTGATGATCTTTTGTTCTCTTGTTTGACTGACAGCACCAACATCGTATCAGCAAAACTTGCCGAGCACAAGCAGAGACAGTTAGCACTCCAGCAGTACATACAGATGGTGAGATTCAACTTATAAATAAATCAGACACCTCCCACACACACACACATACCACAAGTGTAATTGAGCCCTGTAAGAAAGGCTCGATATGAACAGAGTACATGTAATGTGAAACTGGGAAGTTAAAAGTTTCAGAGACTTCCCAAGGAGACTCCTGAACGACCCTCAGATTCTTCAAGACCCTTAGCTGCTTCTTACAGAGGACATAATGGAATCTTGTGCTTCACAGCTCTTGCAGCAACCCCCTGGAACAATGCCAGTGGAGGCAACATCTCGTGGAACAGCTTTAACCAAGGAGACAGTCAGCATCACCACTCAGAAACAAGGTATGTGTGGGGAACATCTGACTATCAGGAGGTGAACTACTTCAAAAATGACCCTGTGAGTGAAGCTTTTAAATTAGTAATGTCCATTGGCAGGTGAGCCTTTGTTAGATGCAGCAGCCTGGAGCAGAAGCTGATTCGGTACCATGGCAGATGTCTGCCCTTTCTTGCAACGTGGTTTAAAGGAGTCTAAATGGTCCCTTACTGACTGTGTGTCCTCATAAACAGTATCATCATTTGCAGTTAACCAGACTGTGTGTTTCATACAGCCACTGAGCTCACATGGAAAAAGCGTGTAACTATTTGGCGTGGTCTTCATTCAGTGCTTCAGGGCGCATCATCCATATGCTCTTCATTTGATGTGTTGTAGCAGGCATGACCACTTGGCAAGAGCTGGCTCCCCAGAACCACAAACAAGGGTCAGCCAGCACCAGAAACCCCCAGTTATTACAGCCCGTAACAAACCGGGTGGCTCATTCCCGCGGGAGTACCCAGCCAAGCCAGACACAGCCAGATCAGAGGTCTAAAGCGAGAGGCATTGGTGGTTGTGTTACCCCGAGGCAGGCTGTCGACAAGCCAGCAAGCACTGGAAAGACCAAAGGACCCATTGCTGCTCAGGTAAGGCTTGCTTTTTCATCGAACCACTCCCAAAGTTTCTTGGTCCACCGAGAATATTAAAAGGTTACCTGCTGGACATCACCCTCTTAACCCTGAGGTGCCCTAAAAAGCATACCGAAGTTGGGAGATCACAGACTTTTAGAGTCAGCCCTAAAACACTTTCAACCAGAGTCTTCCCAGTTGTTAAATCTCCACCATGTGGGAACCCTGAGACATAGTCTTTTGCACTTCAGAACATCCGAGGGTCATTTTTTTATTTGTGAGTGATCTGAACCTTCCTGAAATGATGAATATTCACAGGTTTCTGTGACTACATGCATAGCTATTTTTATACCTGTAAACTCTGCATAACAATTATTGGTACAAATGACTGCCTCCTATGGGTCTCGGCTTCAGATCCAAATAAGGAAAACCTTTTTTGTAGCTGGTGTCCCATATGTGAAGGGAAATGGTGATACATGTAGTTGGAAGTTCTTTCTTTATCCCAGCAGCCACAGAGCAGCAAAGCCGGGAGGCATGGGCCGAGGACAGCCCCTGTGTCGAAACCCAACCGGCAGGTCTTTGCAGCCACGACGACAGGTCACAAAAAGATCTTTCGGAAAGGAGCTCCAAGAAACTGAAATGTTGTAAAAAAATGTGCAGCGGGTCAATCAAACACCTGTAAACTTTCGGACCAGTGTCACTGAAATACCAGCTCCACGTTCTGGAGTTTGCAGTAGATCTTGAAATCAGGACTCATGCTGACAGAATGATTCTGAGACAAATTTGTATTGTCAATCTCCCTTCACAGTCGATGTCCTCTGTTTTGTACTTTTTGACGTGTCCTTCCCAAACACTCTGAGAACGAACCAGCACACGACTTTAAGTACTTCAGAATGGCTTACATGTTCTCATACCAAATGCCATGATCTTTGTTTGAAATTAAATTTCATGCTTAAGCTTCCAGGAGGGTGTTTTCAACCGTTTCAAATTGGAATGTGATTCCAGCCTAGGATTTGGACTAGTTTCAGGCCGACTTCATTGCTCATTGCTGCATTGTTTTCACAATACTTGTTGGCTGATCAACACACACGTCTGCCGCATCTACCTCAAAGGTTTTGTTTACTGAAACATACTCCGGCTAAGTCGGGACTCAAGAAATTATGATGACTTACGCGAATGCCGACTTGTGCTGTGACCGAGTTGTCATTTTGCTGACTTTTGCGTACACATGTATCGCCTATGTACATTATGAATCACTTATAATTCAATGGCTTTGATTTACCCTGGTTTATTTCTGCCTCCATGGTCGATCCCAGCAAATTTGTTCTCGATTGTTATCCTCACGGGATGCAAATTTGATAATTGATCATGTGCCCCTAAGGACGAAGCATGGACGGCAAGCCACTTGCCTATCACATCACGACTCGACAGTGCAGTAGGTACATGTACATGATACAGTTACGGTACAGAAAACATACACTCATCCCCGCACGCATTGGAGTAAGTTCGTTCAATAAGGCGACCCCCAAGATGGACAGAGTGCATGCGTGTAGCACTAGCGGGGTTACTGGTATTGATGTACTCATGCTGGCTGATTATCAATCACGGTCTGTACTGCTAATATAGACCTTTTTCGTGTGATGTCACGATTGTGCTGGACCTATGATGTGTTGCAATGGTAATGAACGCATAGTGTTGCGATGGTAATCTACCTAAAGATAAATTAGTCAAGCATGCAGCGTTCGCACGTGCGCTTGTATGTGGTTGAAGCTGCCCATAGGTATACATGCGATCACCGTGGCCAAGGCGGTCCACACGTGGTGGTTTTGTTTACATTTAGTCACGTGGGTGAAAAAGGTGTATACAGACATTACGAAGTGACTAGTTACACGATGCCCACTTAGTCGGAGTTGTAGTTGGAACACTTTATTTGTGGTTATTTTTTAAGAATAAGCTCTTACATGAATTTCTGCTCTCATTGGCATTGCAGTAACTTTCTCCGGTTGCCTTTTGATATGCTCTCTACATCCATCCATGTAATGTTCACTAACATAAAGTTCATTTATATTTTAATATACATGTAATTATACAGCTTCTTTTGATTTCTTATAGTTTTAAATGAAATTGCTGTGGTTTTTAATATTTTGACGTGCACTGCCAGCGACGCCATTTTAGCTCGTGCACAGACCATAGACGCATGTTAAATGTAGTCTATTCTCACTTCGACAAGACTTCACCGAGTGCCTTTGCGTGAAATACGTTCGTAATAGATGTATACATGTAACATATATACCTCTACATGCACTTAGCTGTAGTCAGTAATTGTGCCACAAAACGTCGACAGAATTTCGGATTGTACACTCACAAGAGAATGTGGAAGAAGCTGCAATAAAGTTGATACATTTAGCACGAAAAGTGCAAATAACAGATAAGCCTGCGTCCTTTTAAGGATATCTAAGGTTAAGATCGCTGTAGTATGATGTAGTAGATTTGTAGTATGTATTTAACCCACATTCAAAGCACAGACATTGATGTTGAAAATTAATGTGCCGCAGCAGAAATCAGAGCGACGCAACTTAGTAATAAATGCCCCTAGATTGACATCAAAGAATGCTCTTGAGCAGGTCTCCCATTTTTTTCTCCTTCTTCCCTCTTCTGTTTTTGTGACCGTTACTCTCCAATTGATCTGAACTCTTCAAATCACATGATCAACTGTGCAAATATAGACCCAAAGTTTCACCCATGTCTTGTGCGCTCTGTGTCAAACTGTAGATCCTACTTGTACCTGTATATCCCGAAATAAAAATTGCCAACTGCCAAAAGCATGGGTAATTAATAATCCAGCGCTACGTCAACGATATCTTGCAAAATGATTAATACATGTTCATTATTATGATATTCAATAATTTATTAGTCTACAATTTGATTACACCATTTCATTTGATAACTCTCGGACAAAAAGTGCACGGTATCTAAAGAATTTATTCCGTTCGTACATACTATCTCGGAAAGAGGTGGTCATGGAGAGCTCCAAGTCTTCAAGAGTTCTCCCTCATCTCCTGACTTTTAGCTCGCATCTTTTGGGACTTTAATGGCTGCAATCTGGATGAAATGGTAGATGCCAATTGTTGGTCGACTCTCAAGGGAAGGTTAGGCAAACACGGCTTGAATAAAACTCTCAAACTGTTCTGGAACTGTCTGTACTTGAAGGCGTAGATAATGGGATTAACACATGTATTCAGTTGGACCAACACCATGGACATGTTGTAGAAGACCCCTTGGAAATTCAACGGCAGCCCAAAGTTGAACACGAAAAACGCGATCTGATTGGGTGACCAGCAGATGGTGTACGTCACGAAAACGATGAAGAAGGTTTTCAGCGTGTTACGTCGAGCGCGAAGCAGGGAGCCGCTCATGCTATTGTCGCTTTGTTGGTTGCTTGATGATTCAGGGTTGACGATGGACGAGGATTTCTTCAACTGATGTATGATGTGGACGTAACAGAAAGACATGAAGATTAATGGGTTCAGATACTCAAAGAAGAATGCAGTAGTTCCCATTGCTATGCTAGCCTCCTTTGACAAATTACGAAATTTGCAAGTTTCATCCTCAATTGTGTAATAAAAGGCATTATGACTTTTGTACAATATGGCCACTGACCAAACTGTTAGCATAACTACGACTTGCTTCTTGCGGAAGTGAGTTAAGTACTTGAATGGGTACATTATGGCGACGTAGCGTTCGGCAGTCAAGACCACGAGATTTAGGGTCGAGGCAACGAAAACGTGGAAGTCGGGCTTCAGAGGAGTGAACGGCATTTGCTTTCCGTCCAAATGGACCGTGAGAAAATTGAGGTTAAAGTGCTGAAAGTTGAAGGGATTCTTGGCGTAGGATCCGTTGTAGGCAGCGTTGGATACCAGCCTACCACGGTGCGTTCTGGTAGCTGTCCGAGAAACACGTGATGTTGTGTTAGCGTCAGATTGCCCCTCGGCACAGGAACCATCTTACACAGGATCCTTTTGATGGGATATTTAGCAGTGGCCTTTTCCGCAAGGCCTTGGCATGTCCTAACATGACCGCTGAGCTGACTTTACCTTCCGAACGAACAATGAAGCATCTACAATTTTTATCTTGTTGCTGGGATTACCTCCAGATGCCATCAGACAGAAAGCATCACTGCTCCTGATGAACTTTAGTTTTAAATCTACACCGTTTATCAAGTGTTTATTTTGGAAAAATAGATCGCTGTGAATAGGGCCTAGCATGTCCACGATGCACCCCCCTTTCATGAACTTGCTCCTCTTTTTTAGGCCCGTGTTTGTTTCATCGTCTTCGGCCGTGCAGTTCACGTTGTCCATTTTCCCGGCCGTGTCTTTGACAAACATCTCCGCAGTCAATTGTGACATTTTTGCATTGTTATCGTAACTGAGGAGAGTTTCAATGATGGCTCGATAGGGGCAAGTAGGCGTTGAAGCGGAAATCAGACGTTCATTTAAAGTCACGTCCACCTGACTGAACAGAGACTGCAGCAGTAAATTGCAGGGGCCTACCTCAGCGTCATCAGCGGGATTACTTCCGTCAGCGTTGACTACTTTGGCCTTGACGTAACTTAGCTTTGTTTGAGACGGATCGATGTACTCTTCGCCAGAGCCCGGAACAAAAAAACTCAATAGGGCCGCCGTCTGATATGTTGGAGATGGGACGATACTCTGTGTGTGTCCCTTTTC